CCATAAAGTGATGGAAGCACTGGAGACAGATAGAAGAGCAATCGATTAGAGGATGGCACAATAAAAATGCTCTTCACATCGGTGTGAAGTCAAACGCAGGGTCAAGCAAGGGGTGTGGCACACGATCGCTGGTTACGACCTCCCCCTCTCTGATTGCTGTCTTAATAAGACCCCCCCCCTGAACTATACACTTAAGATAGCATTACTTGGTGGCCCTGTCAAACATAATGGGCAACATATCCATAATAAGCATGTCAAATAATTCCTGTAGACAAAGTGTGAGCGAATTCTGAAGATTCAAGATACTAGGCTACCTAAGTGAAATGGTCATTTTCCAACATGATAAACTTTGTTTCAAAGGTAAATTAGCTATCCTTTTTTGCACTCAAGACAAAGCACTGCTCCTTCTTAGTCCATCTCAGAAATCCCGCTTCAAAGACCTCCAAACTGTGGAATTAGAAGCCAACCAAAATTTCATTTTTCCCATTTTTCGCTTTTGATCGCTGTGCTTTCACCAACTATTACTCAGAGCTAAGAAGACGAATCAGGCTCCAAACAGTCCTATAGAATCTTCAAGGTTTAGGCTACCGATTCACATAAATACTGTCCGCTAAAATTGTTTTTTGATATAGTTAGTGGGGTGCGGCACACCCCCTTAAAAGCTGCGGCGGCCGCAGCTTTTAAGGGGGTGTGCCGCACCCCATTAACTATATCAAAAAACATTTTTAGCAAACCATATTTATATAGATCGATAGCCTAGGTCTCCTAGTTTTCACACGAGTGATTTGAGCTGATTCGTTTTCTTTGCTCTGAGTAATAGTTGGTGAAAGCATAGCCATCAAAAGCGAAAAATGGGAAAAACGAGATTTTGGTTGGCTTCTAATTCCACAGTTTGGAGGTCTTCTGAAGCGGGATTCCTGAGGTGAACAAAGAAGGAGTAGTGCTTTGTCTTGAGTGAACGGATAGCTAATTCACCTTTGAAACAAAGTTAACCATGTTGGAATATGACCATTTCACCTAGGTAGCCTAGTATCTTGAATCTTCAGAATTCGCTCAAACTTTGTTTACAGGGGTTATTTGACATGCTAATTATGGATAGGATACGAATATCATATTATCACTATTATCAGATTACCCAACTACGACCCCCTCCCCTTTTGACTCCTCAATACGACCACCTAGGTGTGGCGTGCCGCACCCCACGCTTGACCCTGGTTATACGTTAATCACTCACGTCCATCACCCAATGCTTATGAGTCACGTGGGAGCTGACCAAACGTGTTAAGTGAGAAAAGCACGTCTTTTCAAGAAATTCCAGTGAATGCAGGTGTAGCAAGAAATGTTATATTTGTGTGTATGTGTGTTATATTTTTGTTGTATTTTTGCAACATGGTCGTACCTTATACTCCATTTACACTACTTAGCTTTCACAATATGACTTTATCTAATAGGTTGTACCGAAAGTTCGTTTGCACCACTTTCAAAAATTCATAACTTCTGCTTTTTTCAACTGATTTGCGTGTTTTCTTTTTATCTGAAAGAGCAAGTCGTTCTCTTCATAGCGGTATCTTGGCGGCGTTCTATTGAGCATACACTGCATAGATATAAGCGGTAGAAGAAAATTACTCAAATTTTGAATTTTCTGTGTAGGGTCATAAAAAATCTGACCTGCAGTAAAAACCGGAGCAGTCAGTATTATAGGTTCTTTCACCAGCTCTTTCTAACAGTGCAAAGTTTGCGCTGACTGAGCGTCTCCAGGCAGTACAAAAGGGCGAATTTGATTTATTTTGGCATATTTCAGGGAAATCATAACTTTTCATAGAGACGCTCATCCGGCGCAAACTTTGCACTGTTGGAAATTTTTAAAAAAACCCGCGATTCCAGGGGACCCTGTCTTGAGGGCGCGGACGAGTTTCGAATCGCTCGTCCCCGTCGGCACGCCAGCGGGGAGGAGCTGCAACTGCATGGGTGCATTGCAGTGTGCAGTGTGCAGCTTCTGCTCACTACCATGTCAATGCGTGTCGGGAGGCAGTCCTTGGTGGCAGTCCTCGCCCAACCAGGGACTTTCAGGCCCCTTATCTCCATTCAGAGACAACGTTAGAAGACCGGACCAAAGATGCCCTTTTCTGAGGCCTACATTCAGGATCGACACTTATCGGAGGGGGTTAGATTTAGCCTGGACACTGCCTTTAAGTCAATTTTGAAAAAGCCAGAAGTGAGGATCAGGGTTGTAAAAATCTGAGCGTTGTAACAATGAATGCTCAACAACTTTTCCAAAGTCTTTTGTTGAGATTAACTGTTTGAGATAAATACACAATTCAAACGCTTTGCCCAAATTATGGGAGCTGCCAAGATCACAGCTCTGAAGTGAATTGAGATTAACATTATCTCAAAGCCCGAGAAGCGACTGTGGTTCCATCCGAGCTTGGGTGCTCCAAAACTCAGATAATCGCCGGGGGCAGGCGGCCATGCGATTTATGGGTGGGCGGGCACCGGAAAAATAGTTCGCAGGTTTCTTGCGTCCGCTTGTCGATATTTAAAAGAATTTGAGCGAAATTTTAGACGAATGCTTGGAAAACAGTCGCGGTTTCCTTATAGATTAGCTGCGGCGCAGTGGCCGCATTCTCGCGGACTTTCCGCGAGAATATGCAAGATTTTCGAGGGCCGTACGGTCCCTTGTGAAGGACCGCGCAGCCCCCAGGTACTTTCCACTGAGAGAAAGTACCTCAAACTTGAGTAATTAAACCTACACCTCTGCCAAACAGAGTTTTACCCGTGCTTGATGTAAGCCCGAAACTGCGTAAAAAGAGTCCGAGCGCCCGCTGAAAGTTTGGCTCGCTCTCGCTGAAAGAGATTATTTGACAACCGCCTGCACAAAATTCTGTGTAGCTGACTCTGGCAAAACATTGGACAGTAAAGGAAGTAACGCTCGCTGAAGGTTTGGCCACGCCCCAAAATTCTGCTGACCGCTTGCAGAAAAGCGCGAGTTAGCGGACCGCCTGCTCAGATAATCGCCGGGGCCAGGCGGTCCTCAAACTCGCGCTTTTCTGCAGGCGGTCAGCAGAATTTTGGGATTAAAGGGTTTTGGGGTAAAAAGTTTGGCTTTGGCCAAACCTTCAGCGGGGGGCACTTCCACTACGGTCGCATATTTTGCCAGCGGGCAACAATACAGCATTTTCTGCAAGCGCTCGTCAAATAATCTCTTTCAGCGAGCGCTGGCTAAACTTTCAGCAAGCGCTAGGACTCTTAACGCAGTTTCGGCGTACGCCGAGTAAACGTGAGACTATGTGGCAGAGGTGAAAGAGATTATTTGACGAGTAAACGTGAGACTATGTGGCAGAGGTGTCATCGATGGTTTAATTACTCAAGTTTGAGGCACCTTCTTTCAGCAGAAGGTAACTACTGGCTGTGCCGTCCTTCACAAAAGACCGTGCGGCCCTCAGTATTTTTGCATATTCTCGCGAAATCCGCGAGAATGCGGCCACTGCGCCGCAACTAATCTATAGAAAAACCATGATACTTTTCCGAGCATTCCTCCAAAAATTGGCCAGGTCTTTCAAATTTCTGCAAGCGGACCGCATGAAATCAGCGAACTATTTTTCCGGTGCCCGCCTGCTCAAAATTCGCATGGCCGCTTGCCCGCGGCGATTATATGAGTGCCCCGGCGATTATCTGAGAAGATAGCAACCTTACAACTTCTCAACCGACATCTTAAATATCTGAGATCGCAGCATCATTTGGTGGCTGACGTAAGAAAAGAGCCCATAGAGTTTAACCTACAACGCCCAATCTGCCATCAATCGATTAGCGGCAGTATATGTCGAAAAAGTTGAGATTTACCAAGACGGCATTGCACGACAGCGAGCATGACCCGGCGATAAGAGCTGCGCGCGCGACGCGATTGCCCGACTCTGTAGATTTAAATGGGGCCCCGATGGGACCCGTGGTTCGTCCCCATTTTCGATTTTCGCAATGCTTTGGACACACACATGCTCAGATAATCGCGGGGGGCAGGCGGTCCGCAAACTCGCGTTTTCTTGCAGGCGGTTAGCAGAATTTTGGGGTGTGGCCAAACCCTCAGCGGGCGGTACCTCCTTTGCTGTTGAATTTCCTGCTAGCGAGGCAGAATACAGAGTTTCCTGCAGGCGCTCGTCAAATAATCTCTTTGAACGAGCGCTGGCCAAACTTTCAGCAGGCGCTCGGACTCTTTTTAAGCAGTTTCGGGCGTACGTCGAGCGAATGTGACACTCTATGCTGCAGAGGTGTCATCGATGGTTTAATTACTCAAGTTTGAGGTACCTTCTTTCAGCGGAAGGTACCTACGGGCTGTGCGGTCCTTCACAAAGGACCGCGCGGCCCTCAATATTTTTGCATATTCTCGCGGAAAGTCCGCGAGAATGCGGCCACTGCGCCGCAACTAATCTATAGAAAAACCACGATACTTCTCCGAGCATTCTTCTGAAAAGAGGCCAACATTCTTTCAAATTTCTGCAAGCGGACCGCATGAAATCAGTGAACTATTTTTCCGGTGCACGCTTGCTCAAAATTCTCATGGCCGCCTGCCGCGATTATCTGAGTGTGTGTACCAGAAATTCATCTATAGTGCATCGGGCGGGAAGCGAAATAACATCCGGCGCAACTCGATATTTCTGCGGGCGCGCAAATTTTGTGCCGTGCGAGCGGGCACCCACCGTCATGCGGGCGCGCCGCGATGCCGCAGCGGTCCGCAACACCGGCGCCCGCTCGCTGCCACATGGCTACCCGCCCGCACGGAAGGAAGCTCTGAGCATGCATCGCAAAACCTAGCGTTTTGGGCGCGTCATGCCATGCCAGCGCTTTGGTCTGATCTCGATCGGGGCAGACTTAGACTTGTCATGATTGCATATGATCATAATCTGATCTCTGATCTCTATTGAAATGTCCAAGATTTCGTTTTTTGGATCTAATTTTTTTTACTCAGGAATTATAGCACAGATTTTCCATGAACAGCAAAAATAGAGATGTCATGGGGTCACAGTGCAACACGATCATGGAAGGTTATCAAGTACGTCGACCTCCGTTCCCAACCGTCTCGAATAATTGTAAGTATGTTCTATTCTTTCCACTTATTTTTTGCTTCTAAACTACATTTACAGATGGAATCTGATCTCGCTGTGAATTTATGTAAGGAAAGCCGCTTGCTCACTTTATCCCAGGGCAATACCGTGATTGAGCAGATCCCCCTTTGTGCGCCTTCGCCGACTGTCATGTGAGTCTCTCCTTTTTTGTCACGTTCGCAAAGAACGGGTGTCTTGTTAAAACCTCAAATGCGTTCTTTTTTATTCAAATTGGTAGCTCTAGCTTCTAGTCCTTTTTGTTTTGAGGTATCGCGACACCGCCATCGTTTTCACATTAGCCTTATCATCTCTTTTCATAAAGTTTCGTATCCGTCTATCAAACGTAGCTGACAGATGTTCCTTGTGTTTGGCTCTGTCTGAGTTCACAAATGTGCAAGAAAGCATTCCGGTAAGTGAGTGCTTAAAGTGAATCGTTTGCACCGGTTTGGCTATAGGCGCAGAACGCTCAATGTAGTCGTGGTTTCAAGGACGTTACGTGTCTTTCTCAAGGAACATGCAGCAATGGATCCAGTAGCCAAGTCTACCAACTAGTTAGTCATTGTCACAAATTTTTTTTTTTTGAAATCGAGGGGACCAGGCCAGTAATGTCGTTTTATGGTTATAGACCGTCTGACCTTTCATAGCTAAAGCCCAAGTCTTTACGCCTCCTCCCTCGCTCTTTTCACCGCGTACACGGACGTCATCCTTTAAGTTATCTACAGGTCTGCTGCACAAGTGAGGGAAAGCCAGAATATCTGCTCGCGAACGCGACGCAAGCCCCACGCGTGGCCACCGTAAAACCCGAGCCGCTGGAGCTGTGAACTGTCATTAAGGCCTATGCAGCCTCACAAGGAAGACACTTTGGTTGAAGTGGCCATATGGAAAGTGATGCATATGGATAGCCAGTTCTTCGAACGCTGCTCTCAAAACTGCTTTCGCTATCTGCGGAGCGTTTCTGTAAAAGGAGTTATGAGCACTTGTTCTCACCAAAAGCGGCCTTCCGTTTATCAAGGAGCGGCAAGGCATTTTCGGCGGCGTGGTGTAGTGGTGAGTGGCTGCGGTTTACAGGTGAGTGAGCAGGGTTCGAGTCCTGTTGTCGCCCAGCAGTTTTGCATTTTCCTAAAATTTTTGCTTGCCTTTGAAAATGCCGCATATGGACAATTTATCGCAAATTTCGCAATAAGTGATCAAATTGGCCTATATTTGGAGAATGTAGTAATTGCTTTAGAGCTGAGGAGTTTGTTGTAACAGCTATTAAATATATACAGAATTTTTAACGGCAAAACTATGAGCAGACATGGTAATCAATCACAAAGGTTTGGAAGCAAAAATACTAACTTACTTGTAGCTAAAAAACTGTTTCAGTTGCGAGATCTGCGATAAATTGCCATATGCGGCATTTTCAGAGGCAAGCAAAAATTTTAGAAAAATGCAGAACTGCTGGGCGACAGTAAACCGCAGGCACTCACCACTACACTACGCCGCCACAACAGAAATGCGGCCGCTCCTTGATAAAGGTAAGGCCGCTTTTGGGGAGAACAACGGCTCATACCTCCTTTTACAGAAACGCTCCGCAGATAGCGAAAGCAATTTTGAGATCAGCGTTCGAAGAGCTGTCTATCCACATGCATCACTTTCCATATGGCCACTTCGACCAAAGTATCTTCCCTGTTCAGTATATTGTCTTTAGTAGAAGTGGACGCATTGCTCATATTAAAATCAGTTGGCTCGTTAAACTCACTTTTATCGAAAACCTACTAGAAGTTATTCTAGTAGGCCATATCTGAATTCGAAGGATGTAGCGCATCCTGAGGCATCCTTGGCTCAAAAGCGCCCAGAAGGGCTCAAATTTTTCGAAATCACTTTCCACATCTCTTCTCTCCTCGCAGGTTCCGCGCTAGGCTAAAAGCGCTAGCGCTCTCCCCTGACAGGCAAGTGCTACCGTGCCATGAGTGATGAGAAAAGTGAAGAGTTTAAACAAATTTGAGGATTTTTGAACGTTATTGATTGCTTCTGCTTCCTTTTGAGGGCTTTTGAGCGAAGTCTGACGGGTGCCTAAAGTAGATGCCAGGCTCGTTCGCTTCAACCGATTCATGCTGTTCACCCTTTCTCTGCCCGCCTTGCCACGCTCAAACCGACCCACAAACTCCCCGCTGTTAAAGATTCCCGGCTGCAAAAATAGGGGGGAGGGCAGTGGTGGACCGAGGGGGGTGTCCCCCCTCCCGAGAATGGGTCGCGAAATTTTTGAAACTACTTTTTATGGGTTATAAAAGCGTGCAAGTGAACTTTTTTATTCTTGTGAACAATTACGATAATTATTAAAAAATTTTAAAAATTCAAGTCAGCTTTGTAAAAAAATTTTTCGGGCAAAAATTTTGAGTAGCACCTGAAAGAACTTTTCGGGGCTGAAAAGATAAAATTACCACTCCCCCCCCCCCCCACCCTTCTGAAAGAGAATCCTGGGCCGCCGCTGAGGAGAGGGAAAGTAGGGAGTGTATTAATTTTGTGTTGTCACATTCGAAAGTCAAAAGATGATCTATTCCAAAGCTAAAAAACTGTGGCGAGCGCCCACGGTTCAAATTTGAATGCCACTCAAAGGCACCGTCCACCCAGATCCTCGTCTCCCATGTTTTTGTTGTTCCGGGGCCTTCTCATATCCCTAATTCTGAATATCAAGTCGAGAATCCGCGAAAACCCTGACAAACCCCGTTTCGGAGAACCCGCAGGGCGAGTTGTGCGGAACGGCGATTGATTGGGTGCGCTCTAAGTCACGCCCACTCAAAGGGGAGGGGTCAACGTGGCGGGGGTAGGCGTTGTGGAGGCAAAGCAGCGCCGCATTCCCCTGCGGTATATCCTGAAGGCCAGTTGCATTGCATGCATCGCCTTTAATTGCAGCCGCAGGAGTACGCCGCTCCTGACAACGAACTGAGCCATTCCCTATTGCTACGTCTTGAGAAGATGTCCAAACTGCATGAATGCAATAAAGGTACTTAAAGGCAGTGTCTCACCAAAGTTGAGGTCGCGCGGATCTCCACATATTCTATTATAGGGACCTCTAAATAGGCTATTGCAACAAGTCCCCCTCAATTTGACCCCCTCGACGCTGAGAAAAATTCGCTCAAAGCGGTACGCGGAGAGCGAGCTGGTACGCGCGGACGACTCCTTCGGTCTCCCTCCTTACGCGTTTGAACATGTCCTTCCACTTGGCATCCACCTCCCCTCTTTTGCTGTCAGTGTGGCTGAGGCTGAAGTTGGAGGGTACAACTCGTCCACTTTGCTTCCGCGGAGCCTCCAGAAAACGGGGTTTCTGGGAACTTCGTGCGATTTTAAGCCCATACAGTGCTGGACAGGGTCCGACAGGGTTGCAAAATGCAAAAATCTCGGCAACTAAGTTTTGGTGAACACTGCCTTTAAAATTGAAAAATAGATGGATTTTACGGATGCAAAGGCTGAATCTCGGATGAGAAGACTGATTTTAAGTGTAACACGAGAATTATAAGAGAAAAAGGAGAGAAAATTTTCGTTACTGACTCTCCAAGCTTTTACTTTCTCTTGGGTGGTACTTTCAAACACTTCTTCCTCAGTTTCATCCTCAAAATTCGTTTAACTTCCGCATTTTGGTCTCTTTACAGAGGAAGAATTTCGAGAATGACTCATCCGCCAAGTAACGCTAGCTCCTCTGCGCGTGCAATTAGGAAGCGACACAATGCAAAGGGCCCTCAGGATATACCGCAGGTGAATGCCATGTGCTTTGCTCCATACGCCACGCCGCCCAATGTGGCGAATCCGTCATCCATGGCGATTTTGGAAGCAAATTTCTCGCTTCGGAAGCAACTTCTGGCATCGCGAGTTGGGCAGGTATATAGCTGGGCCACACTACTGTTGGGCATCAAAATCTCATCGACCACATTTTGGGTGGACGGTGCCTTCAACCCACTCTCGTTTTACTTGTACATAGTCGCTGCAGCCGGGAGCTCGGTAAAATGTGTGTTTTTGAAATATCCATAGTTTGGCCTGATTTTATTGGTAGCTTTTTACTTGACCTTACCATTGTCGATTCAACGAATAAGTGTTTGTGGGAAGTTTGCCAGTCTTTTGAAAGTTCCCTGCTCTAGAATTCTGAAAAGAAAAAGCGTAGCAGCAGTGGCCCAAAGCAATTCTCCGAAGCTAAATTTAATCCTTGTGAAATTACTTTATCTTCCGTTGAAAACAGACTGATTGCTTGAACTCACAATCATCTAGACCGATTTAAAAATTTTGTGGCCTCGATAAAGGGATGAGGGGGTGAGCGGAGTCTCGAAAGTGTATGCATGTAGATTTTGGTGGAGCATATTTATTTTTGTGGAGCGATGTCGAATTTCCAGCATTGGCCAGATCTCCCTCTGCGAGCATTTTAACTGTGAGTTTCTTGGAAAGGGCCAGCTCGAATTTGACTTTAGCAGAGTTATTTAGGAGGTCTTCTCACTAAATATATGGAGAACCAAGCTATCTAAGTTTTGGTGAGGAACTGCTGATTGTCTTCTGTGATATTGCAAGAGAAAAACAAACAGCAAAGGCTAATTGAGATCGTGATTCTCCAATCTGGCAAACGTTCCATTCCAAAGTTTATAACCAGCATATCATATCGGGAAAAAGCCTAGTACTTCAAGAAAATACAAGTACAATCATCATTGATTCAGCTCTCAATACACAGAGTTTAAGCAGAACGACACTCGAAGCCTGTCATCATCCCAACGTTCATTCTATATGTTAGAATCGCAATCTTCGCCGCATCCTGACCTTCGCAGCGTTATCAATCCTATCACAATCAAAAGAGAGGTGACTGGAGCGTTACGTGGTACCGTTTATATTGCGAATGTATTTCAGGATTTCACGAACTCTCCTCATAACAGCCAGTCTCCGTTGAAGTGTTTCTCTCCCTTCAGTCCCATGCCTTCACAATCCTGTCTTTCAACTCCTGTCAAGGTAGCTGTGTTGGAAAATTGGATATACTGAGTGCACAACTGTTCGCCTTCTGCGAGGTCTTCTCTATCGCTCAGTAACTCTCTTGTGGATCAATTGACTGCAAATCATATTGAAGGAAAAGCAATGTTGTACATCGCTTATTCGTGTAAAAAGGATGTTAATCGTAAGAACAGATACCCGAGCGATGCTCGTAGCAGAAAGTCGAAGAATCGAAGAATCATTCAATCATTCCAAAAAAATTCGCTGGCTTTTTAATTTTTGAACATTTTTGAACTTTGTCATCGTGCAGCATTCTCTTTTAAACAGTCGAAAGCCAGCACAACTTGGAATGTTTGATTGGGTCGTTCCAACAGTAATTTCGCTTTCTTCAAACGAGCGTAGCAACCCGCAGAATGAAGATCGTCAAACTTGGCAGCACTCAGATGCACCTTTTGGTCTCTTTCATAAAGTGGTCTCCTCATTCCAGCCTGACTAACAAGCTCGAAAAATAACCAAAGACTGCCACCCACGTTTTTTGCCATGATCAGGTTTTGCTATCATGTAGATTTTGCTATTAATCCCACGAAGATTTCCAAGTAACCGACGGTTAGAGCAAACTCTACAGAGTAGAACTCATTCTTTTTTTCTCTTTTGCATCGGTTGTCATAAATTTTCGATAGATAATTTATCAAAACCACCGAATTCTAGCAAGCCCGTTTTAGATGAACTCATCAAACACCAGGAAATCTTCGGAATTTGAAGCTTCCAGAAATGGATCATGCTTGCACTGATACAGCAAATGAGCGTTTCGTGGACTTGAAATATCAAGTCTCGATTTTCTTGGTTACAGCATGAGGCACATCAAAAACACAAAGATACTTTTATCCCAATGTTACGAATCGAGAACATAAAACGCCTTCCTGAGAACAGAAAAAGCTGCATCAAATGACACCCGAGTCGCTTGCCGGTTGATGTTTATAAGGATTGAGTTGACCAGATATGGATTTCAATAGCATATAAAAAATAATCTCAGAAGTTTTTAGAAAGCAAGCTATGAAAAGAAAAAAAATAGTTTCATATCCTGTAAGGTTAGCTCTGTCTATTAGTTACTTGGACTTCTTCTGGAGTCGGTAGGTACGAAAACCTAGAAAATCATCGGAACTTAACCATGGCAGAAATAGTGGGCTGTAGTTTTGGTATTTCAACAGCTCATTGAACTCAAAAAAGGCGACAACCGTTTGCAAGCTGATGGAAAGCTGCGTCGAATGCGGCCAAAAGTTTTTGACGATCTTTGTTCTGCTGCTGTTACGCTAGTTTGTAGGAAGCAAGATTATTTTCGGGACTACTCAACATTTATGCTGAGCTTGAAATGATTTCAGCTTGAAGTGCAAGAAAAGGCGACTCAGACCGAATGTCTTGACGATTGGTGTTCTAGCGATGAACAGTTAGAAGCTGAGCTTAGTCGTCTCATGAGATCCCCACAATTCATGTCACTGGTGAAGAAAATCCAAAGAATATGGCCAAAGCTGCAAATGACTGGTGCTGGAAATGGTTTTTAATGCCACATTCTCGTGCTTGTTTTGCAAATAGAAAGAAACGATTGCACTGTTCTTTTGAGGCACTACTATCAAGCAGTTGTGTCTTTGCAACTGATATCCATTTGTGTGTTTGCGCTCACATTTTAGGAAGTATTAGGTTGTAACAGAATTAATGCAGGTTTTCTGAAACTTGTGTTTGGATCATTATAACTTTTTACAAAAATAGTCTTTTGTGTGCAACAAGAAATGTTATAATCAGCAAACCTTTTTCAACTCAGTATGCATTACTTTGTTGTTGTAGCTTCACCGAGAAAAATCTTACAGCCCGAATTCTGCCAAGAATTTTTTCGGGAAACCTTCAGTTTGAGAAACCATAACTTACTACTATCAAAAATAGGTAGCGCAAATATAACTCACTGTGTAGCCTATGGCGGTAGTGCAGCAGTGCTGAATTCGGAATTGAAAAAGAATTCTCTGCGAGAGGGTATTTGAAAAATTTCAAAAGTACTCATTTTTTCGACTTTTCTGAGGATTTGAAAAATCGCTTTTCTGAAACTTTTGAATTTCTAGCTGAATAGGTAGAGCGGCTCCCGATTTTTTCAGTCATAGATGTCTACAATCTTTATATAAAGCGGAAGCTTTGCAGTCGCTTCGCGCTGAGGATTTTTATGTAGGGCAGACGGACCACAGCTACCGTGAATTTTGCTTTGAAATTTCTCGGCTCATATGTTTTCAGAATTCATGATTCATGCATTTTGTGACTTACCTCATTCAAAAATACTATGTAAGTTTGCAGCGAATTCCGGTTGTTTTTTTTGGTTTAGAGCCAGGTATATTAAAAGAAAGAATTTCGAGATTTGGGTTTCTCAAATTTATGGGCTCAGAACTTCTAGACAAATTTGCTTCCACTTAAATGAGAGAATGCTTAAGAAATTAGAAGAAAAGAGCTTCCAAATGATATGCAAAACTTTCCGAGAAAACACTTGCCCTTTTAAACCAGCATTTTGGAAATGGTGCGCAAAAAACCTGCATTATTTCTGTTACAACCTAATAGATTGTAGATGCAATGTTATTGGTTTTGGTCTCCTTATTGTTCTGCTCTGTGTTCAATAGTGTTTTGGTGGTTCTTCACGAAATATGTTTTACATTTTCTGTTCTATTCCGTGCCCAATTCTGTACCAGAGTAGTACATGTCATGTTTTCTGTAAATATTGTTGACTGTGAGAAAAATGACTGTGATCCCTACAAAGCACGACGCTGTTAGAATTTAATAGTTGTCTGTATCTCGAATCAAAATCGATGTTGTATTGTATGTGAATTAGCTCAATCACCTACAAAATCGTGCGAGCGTTGCAGACAGTTGCGAAGTTCACATTGTAAGCAAGGAGATATAAACTTACCGGACCGTTCAATGCTTGTTTGGTTGTGCAAGAAGTTGAAAGATGCCAGACAAATTTCCAATCTCAAAGGATTTCGTAGCATGAAGCTGTGGCAGTGAAAAAACATTCCATTCTTTGAACTAGGATATGCCATAAGTCTATCGCTTTCTTGCGCATTGTATCATCTGCTCATACTGCTATAGGAAGGATTTGTCCTATATTGATAACGAAACAAAATGGAAAGCAGTCGTGAGACGACCTGATAGCTGGCCGTTAAAATAAAATCCCCACTGCTTTTCTAAATTTCACATTTATGACTCCTCACAAAAATCTCACTGATCTTCTGTATCTTTCCTGAATACCTGCCTTTATAACACAAATCCCCACAATGACTTTCCGTGTTTTACCTCAATCACGTTAGCAACATTTTGCGGTTTTCTGTATATATCAACTATCGGTACAGAACGCTTTCCAATATCTTTGATTTGGCAATGACATGAGTAGAAGATAAGAAAGTGAAAAAAGCCGTCAATAAAGATTGTACTGCGTCACTTTTTTTAACCACAAAATCTAAATGCCGAAGACTGAGTCTTCGGCATTTAGATTTTCTCTTCATCTACATAACGTACTCACTTCTGCTGAACTCGGGTTCCGAACTCTTAAATTAAAGAAAGTTACCGAGCATTTTTGCTCTTGCAATCAGAGACAACTAGATACATAGAAAACACTGAGTTTCCAAGCACTTCCTCTACTTTGGCACCTTTGAGTTCCGTTGTTTCTTTTCGATAGGCATAACGAAAGGCGATTGGGTTAAACTGTGTAATCGTTGATGTCGACAGACGAGCGTCCACTATGGAATAGGTATAATTTTGAATCGCAAAGCTCTGCCAAAGTCCGCAGATTTATTAGGTTTACATATTGTTACACTCACCTAAAGAAATTCTCATGACTTTCTCACAAGGGAAGTGTCAGAAGTCGCCTTTTGACATGGGATGGGTACCATCTTAAGCAGCTTGAAATGCTGATTTCAAAACAAACTTTCTTAGCTGCAGAACTGATCTGGATCGCGAGTTATGGGCATTTTAAACATTAACCTTTACATTATTTGAAGTACTCTGTGATCACGGGAACCTTTCAAATGCTTATTTAAGCACCACAGCATGACTTTGATGAAGGCGTAGGATTACGTTAAACATTGATGTAGTGTTTCATCTATGTTTGAACCCAAAAAATGTTCGCTTTAATTTTTGGCTATTCTCAGCGTTGTAAATTTCCCGCAAATTAAATTCAATAACTCTCGTCCTAGATTAGTTCTGCAGCTAAGAAAGGCTGCTTTGGAATCAGCATTTCAAGCTGCTTCAGATGATTCTTATTTCATGTCCAAAGGCCACTGCGAGTTCTGACACTTCCCTTGTCAAAAGACTTTTTTCTCGTGTAATCATGTGGGATGCTGTGGGCTCTCGATATATACACGTTAGACATGAAAATTTAATATTTGAATTTTTTGAAATTTTTTTCGAGTCAATCTTGACAAGTTTCCAACTTGCGTTGTTGAAGAGCTTAAACTTCCGAACTGCCTTCGTATTACTACCCGATGTTCCCAGAAGTCCATAAAAAACCTCAAAGTATGAGAAAGCGCATGAGAGAATTTTTAGATAATGAAGAGCTGGAGATCGAAGTGCCGTTAGGAAACTGGTTTTCTATCTAATTTAGCTAAAGTCTAAGGCAAAAATGATGCCAATGGAAAGCCCTTCATCCCTTTTCCATATACGCCAAATACGGGACTTTGCCGAATTAAAGTGGTCCCACACTACCTGGCAGCTCCAAAAGGAGTGTCCCTCGGAAGTTTTAGAACTTCAGTTTCCCCCCGAAAGTCATTTGCGAATGTCTGAGCTAATATAATGACCTCAGTATATCGCACGACTTATCTTATATATAAAGCTGAATGTCTGTTTGTCTGTATGTCTGTATGTCTGTGTGTACGTATGTTCCGAATAGAAAATTCCATTACTGAACCGATCGGGACCAAACTTGGCACACATACACTTCGGGCCCCGGCGGGTGTCATAGGCTACTTTTCGTATCGATCGATATCGATTTTATCGATTTTTTGCAAAATTTGAGCTACGGGGCTGGGAGTTGGCACAGGGAGGTAAGTGAGCATGGGGATTCCGAACACAATATTAGTTTTTGGAACCGTGCATTACTTTTATCGATTTTATCGATTTTTTTGCAAAATTTGAGCTAGGGGGCTGGAATTTGGCAGGGGGGTGTAATCGAGCATGCTGATCACCCCCGCGGGGATGATCAGCATGCTCGATTACCCCCCCCCTGTGCCAAATCCCAGCCCCCTAGCTCAAATTTTGCAAAAAATCGATAAAATCGACATCGATCGATAACGAAAAGTGGACTGTGACACCCGGGGCCCGAAGTGTATGTATGCCAAGTTTGGTCCGGATCGGTTAAGAAATGGAATTTTCTATTCGGAACAGACGGCGGAGCCGGGTAAGCCAGCTAGTAATATATTAGGTTGTTACATATTACACACAAGGAAAAAATCTTCGTAACTTTCTAACATTTATCCTTACTATCAATTTATGTGGAATGTGTGGATTTTGGACACAGATAAAGAATACAATTTTTTGATCTTTTGTCTTTTTTTGAATGACTGACTCCTACAAATTCCCAACTTGCGTGATGGAAGATCTCAAGCGAGCCTTTGTGTTAATGCTGATGCTCATTTCCTTGGAAAATCTATCATTATGAGAAAGAAGAATACGGGAGAGTTTTTTGAAATATCAAAAATTCATGGTCGAAGTGCCGTTGCGAGAATGTTATGGATAGTCTTTCATCCCTTTCTCATATAAGCCAAATAAGAGAGTTTGCCGAATTCCCTAGTTTTCCAGAGGAAGACGAAGAAAACAACCTGATATATCTGTGCAAAAATACAGCAAAGACGCGAACACCAGCTTGAAAAGATATATATCTATTTATTTGATTATTCAATTATTTAATCGTACATTTATTTATTTATTTATTTATTTATTTACTTATTTATTTATTAACTTATAAGTACACAACGAGCTGCATCAAAAAATCAGAAGAAAAAGCATACGATGCGAGCCAGTCCTCAGCTCAAGGAAAACAAAACTAAAGGGTAGATAACAATACACGGAGATCCCCATAAATAAAATTAAAAGAATCGTGTAGTATGCTTCTCAGAGATTATCTAATGCCAGTAGGTTTGGAAGAATTTGATTGACTTGAAGATATCATCGAAAGGTAAAGAAGTTGTGACATTCCGGTTCTGATGGTTATGTGATTTTTAAAAGTAACCAAGAAGAAGTAATGCTCTACACTACATTACAAGGGCTAGCAACCTATCTTCAGAAAAAGTTGAATATGTCTGAATTGTCTTCTCCGCTTACCCAAGTTTTGGAAACCTCAGGATGCGTCAAAACTAGTTAGGTAGGGGTTAGTTAACATGCTGGGCAACATAACATGGCCTCAACATGTGCGAAAATTTGTTTGATGCGATTATCTGTAATGAAGGGACCAGTGGGGCGAGCAAGCGCCTAGCGCGGTGTCTGTTCTTCTCGAGAAAGAGTACAGATGCCAGTAGTAGCTCACAAACCTCGGTGGCACACGCCATACTTGATCCACTTGATCCACTTCGCTATTAGTCAATACACTGATTCGAAACGAGGGCGCTATTTCAGAATACACCTGTACATAGGGGTTATTCGACATGCTGATCACAAAAATGATTTTCGTTTCATGTGGTAGTGCCTTTTTTGAGGGGTTACGGTAGGATCATGGTATGGGGTCAGAATCTTAGAATTCGCTAAAACTTTGCGTATGGGAGTCATTCGACATGCTGATCACGAACATCACACTTTTTCCGCAAGAAACCTCCCTGTATGGTTACGGCAGGTGTACGGTAGGCGGTCAAAACCTAGATTTGGCTGGAATTTGGTCTGTAGGGGTTATTTAGCACGCTGGACATGGATATCATACTGACTTTGGACGGTGGTGCAATTTTCTCGAGTTATGGTAGGTACACGGTACATGATGAAAATTTCAAGTTTGCTCAAAACGTTGCCTGGAGGGGTTTTCAAGCATGCCGATAACGAATATCAGGCTTGCTCGCTGTAACAACGCTTTGTTATGGAGTTATGGCAATTTGCAGCGCTTAGAGAAGCATCTTCCCCGCTTCTCAGACCAACCAAGTTCCCAAAAATCCACGAGAAGGCCTTCTAACAAAATGAGCACGGTAATCTTGATGAGTATAACAGGTGACACCCATGCACAAAGTTTCAGGCAGATCTACGGTTATGACCCCTTACCGTGCACCTACCGTAACCGTACAAGGAGAGGTTATCGTGCGGGAAAAGCGTGTGGTGCGATCAGCATGTCGAATAATCCCCATGTACAAAGTTTTGGCGAAATCCAAGACTTTTCAGTTTTGGGTTGTGTACTCTGGAATAGTACCTCGACCGAGTAGCAAAGTGGATGAAATGGATCAAGTGGATCAAGCGAACATCCGCTCCACTATTGGTCAGTCCATTGACTAGACCTGAAGCGAACTGGACCATATGATCAAGTATGGCGCGAGCCATGAACTCCACTGCTGCGTTCATACTGATGCGGAAGTTCGGAGTATGAACGCAACCTACGCTGCGCTTTGCAAGCATTGTCGCCGAACCCTTGTTCCTCCCAACCATTCAAACATTCGCCGTTGTTTTCAGTGCATACGCAGTTACGCACTATGTGGTGAACGCAACGTCTCGTTGTGCTTGAAGGCATTTGTCGATTTCTATCATTTAGCAGGCTCTCAATCTCGCTAGCATGGACAAGGCGAAAATGAGTGAAAGCGCCAAGACGGAGCTATGCCGCAAGTACGTTTTCTACTTTTACTTTGAAGAAGTCCACCTTTTTTGTATTCAGGTACTTCATCATTGGTTTGTTTTGCCTTCCGCTAGTGTGGCTCACGAATCTGATTTGGTTTTTTGGGGATGCTTTCTGTCGACCAAGCTCTTCTACTAATCCTACTATCCGCAAATACGTCATTTTAAGCGCACTTGGAGTTTTGTTCTGGACAATTGTTATATTCACATGGGAATTTGTTTTTCAGGTCAGTTTTCTAAGCTTTGCTTTGCCTGCATGCTTGTTTGGGCTAAGTAGAGGAATTATGCGGTGGCTATGTTTTATTTTTTCAATTGCAGTCCTATCGAAGTCAAGGTTTGGCATGGGCGGACTATCTCACCTTCATATTTCCAGTAGGACGTGTTTGATTGACATCATGATAGTCTTGTGTGCTCTTTCTCGTTGGTCTGCTAATCGCCAGACGTCATACCTTTTGTATGATTGTTTCTGTGACAACCCACAATCGATATCATATCATCTATTTTCTTCCTCAGCTTTCATCATTTGTATATAACATGATTCTCAATGTGAGAAAATGGTGAACGATTTCTTATTGAGACGGGTTCTGCGCATCAAAGATGTCTGTCTAGGGTTTATGTGTGTTTTACTTGAAATAAAGTGATAGAAATACATCTCTTGCTTATTTCATAACAAAGCAATCTTGCAATATATCTGAGACTTCGTTTTTATTGTAACCATGCTCGCTTTCCCATAGCTATCTCGTGAACAAAAAAATGTTTTAAAGATTTGAATTTTTAAATCAATTTTGTTTTAGTTTACAAGGTTTTGTATGGTAGGAAGACTCGATCAGCTTCGATATTGTCACGGTAAAGGATATTCATCGACGACTGCCCCGATTCGTGCATTTACACCACCGTGGGCGTGCCTATTTGGAGCCTTTCCAGCTTGACAGTACGCTGCAGCGTGCCGGGACTTGATAACTCGCAGCAACCTGTTCTTTAGCTCCTTTTGTTGATTCAAGTATTTCACATTGTTTTCTCGTTCTTAGTTTTCGTATTCTAGTCAGTGAGGTAAAGGATATTCATCGACATTCGAATTCCCTTTCTCTTAGTCTCGATGCTCAAATATCCTACGTTCTTCTTTGATGACCACTGAAATGTAAGAAAAAATTTGTTTAGGCACATTTCTCGAATTCCTCTTCCTTTTTACACGCCAAACATTCTTTTTCAAAATCGTGAACCATCGCCCCGGGCAAGATTAGGTGAAAGTGTGTGCTTTGTTCACAAGCAATGGTGGCTATCATGGATTTTCCTTGGATGAGGCCACTCTAATGTTTATTTCATCACTCCTACATGGGTGTCCCCTGTGTAGGAGTGCTGAAGTAGTCACTTCAGTTGTCTGTCCCAAGAAACTTGTCAAATCGTTACAAAAAATTGAAGGAAACATGCAATCCCAACCATAGCCATTATTGCAACTACGAAGATGGTCATTCTTTTCTCTACTTTGCTTGTAGCGATGATTTCATATAGATAGTAGAACGGCTGTTTGCCTGAAATGAAAAAAAACAAAACAGGTTAAAGGATAGGATGCTGCGAGCTACCAAGTCCCCGCGCGCTGCAGCGTACTGTCAAGCTGGAAAGGCTCCAAGGTAGGTGCCAGAGTAAGCGAATATTTTGTTCAGGTTGGGGTCCCGTGCAGAATTGACGTCTCTCACCATGCTGGCGTCAATCCAAGTGACGTCAATTCTGCACGGGACCCCAACTTGAACAAAATATTCGCTTACTCTGGCACCTACCCAAAGAGGCACGCCCAAGTTGGTGTAATTGCACGAGTTGGGGCAGTCGTCGACGAATATCCTTTAAGCGTGTTGTTGTTCCTGTTTATGTCATGAATATCATTGCAGATGACTCCTTTTTATCTTTTAGGTACATATCCTGAACGTGAATCCGGCTGTGTCATGATATTCTGAGGAGCTCTGGTTCACCAAACGAATGAATTCCAATTTGGAAGAAGACGGCGATCTACAAGAGATACTTTCCTATGACGACTCTCATGGCGATCATGACCCTCCTGCAACTCATTTAAATGTGAGTCTTTGTTCAGTTGCAATTAATGGTTCAAGGACAAAAATTTGTAATTATTGCAAATTTCTTATCATATTTGACTCCTTCGATTGAGACTAGCTGTTTTTATTTCTTCAAATTTTCTTTGTATATTCATATCATTCATGGCACACCCTGAATGCTGAAAATGAAATAACCATTATATTTTGCCTGCAGTCGAGTCGTTAGACCAGCAGCTTTCGTTTTTCTACATCTGTTACTCATTTCGAACTTTCTTCATTGAATTCGTCATTTACTATTGCTAATCATGCTAATTTTTTGCTACTTGCCACTGCATGGATTTGCTTCTCGGCTTTGCAATTTTAGCTGGTTTTGCCAATTTTTGCTTGATTTCTAAGTCTGCATTCACATTATGGATCTTGTTCTAATACCAGTCTTAAGAATTTGAAGCGTTTATCTGTTTCTTTCGTTTGTGCACCGCTGTAAGAAAATCGTGTACATTGCTGAAATTATTCATAAACGGAAGTGCCAACTCATTTATAGACGAGATGCCAATTCGAAGAGTGTGGCATCCCTCTATGAATGATGCTATTTATTGAAGTTGAAGCGTGTTGAATTGTTTTACATCCTCTCGCTGACATAATCCGTTTTGCCCATCCTTTCACACCTTAGATTCAACCTGTTTTTGCTTTTCTGTAAGAGTTGGTCACTCACTTTTCTGATTTTCAGATGAGGTCTGACTCTCCGGTCAGCTCTCAGAGAATTGCTTACTTGTTCAGAAGTAGTTTCGATGAATCGTTCGGAATCGCTCTGCAGGTATATCGATGCTTTAAATGTTAAAGCAATGCTTACCAGTACAATCCTCTTGTTTTTCAAGCTTAAGCCAAGTGGCAAATCCTTTGCAGACTTACGTGCTCAAGCGAGGCCCTGGAGCTTTGCGAGAACGAATAACTTATATCGACTACGTCCGCGCGAACAGCCCAGCTGCAGCTGCTGGCGTTAGAAGAGGTAATAGCTCTACTTCCGGCGTTGTGTATAGTGCGTGAGACAAACAAATATAGCTTTGTTTCTACAGTTCGCTTTCTATATCAAGAAGTTTTTTTAGGAGACGTTGTCGTGGCTGTCAACGGTTACCCTGTTCTCACGGAGTCGCACAAGGCACTTGTTGACTTGATGTCGTCACAACTCGAGCTGTGTCTTGTACTTCTTTACCAGGTGGGATGAAGCAGAAAAAAATCTGTATTTTTTCTTCTTATTTGCTTTTCAGGATATTACTAGGATTCTTTCTCTTTCGGTGAGGTCACTACAGCTACAATACATACTGGCCGAGAAATTTATCTTACTTGAGCAATTGGATATGGAAGAAGCATCATTACTTCATGGTTTGTTCTCAGATTACTTAGTTCTCATCTTTTCTTTCAATTTATAAGTATAATTTTCTTGTGTCCCTGGAATCACAAGCTACGAGACTTCTAAGCTTTCATGCTCAAAATGTCCAAAAGTAGTCCATTTCTCTTTCATTTTGTATATCGCCAAGGAGCCAGAAAATTTCCAACAAAAACCAAAATTCTACTACATGTTCATCCTCATTTTCATAATGTTTCTGCACAGGCTCTGTTGGCTCACTTTCGACCGACTTTCGGAGAGCTCGATGGTTATCAGCATGTCAGGAGATTTCACGGTCTCTGAATTTATGCCGCAAACTTCTAGGAAGAAGTTCTAAACAAGATTTTCTCTATTTGAAAGATGAACCCTCAACTAGTAGTCTCGAGTTTTCTGTATCAAAGCCTGGTTCCCAGTGTGACGAATGTTCAGAAGTAACTCGGCTCTAAAAACGACTCCCGCCACCGATTCACCCCATCGTTAGTGTATGTATATGTTTAGGAACTGTGTTATAGATTTTTCAGTTTTGATCGTAGTTTCTCAATACTGGTATGAATGGCTCGTGTCTTGTTGTTACGAAGTGCCATAGTCAAAATCTCTATTTCGGTGCTTATTATCTTGTCAATGCTAGCTTTTTAGAGGCATGCAATGCATGGTTTTCTTTCATATCACTTATACTGTAGACTTTTTCTAGCATCTATTTGTGTCCGTTTAGATCTAGTGTACATCACTCATATTCACCGCATTCGATCCGTTTTATTCAAATTCTGCCATATTCCTCTTCAAAGAGTTTATTTCACTGTCAGACATATACAATACATTATAGTAGTATTTTATTGAGTTTTATTTTGGTTAGCATAAATCGTAGATGACATTTTTGATTGATTTTTGCAGCGCACGCTTTTGTCGTATCCTATCTGTAACTTTCTTTGTTTTGAGCAACATTGTCTTATCTCATTGTTTTTTTTTTTGCTGACATTTCACAATTAGATCATGCATGCCCGAACTTGTCTCTTAACTCATCGTATCCTGCGAAGACCAAACTGTCGTGAAGTGACTTACGCACCAGTGGCTGCGTGCGCAGCATGGTTATCACCTATAAGGTTTGTATGATATCACTGAATCTTACTCACTTTCAATCGCCGCCTATAGGTTGACGTCGTCTGGCCCTCCACCAGCAACTCCTCCGAAGCCTGGATCATTCTCCGAACGTTACAACAAGTTCATTTCAAGATGGCCGAGAGTGCATGCATTGCATAGGATGATAGTAGATGGTATGTGAATTTTCAAATCTATTTCTTGCACATTATCGATAATTCAAACTAGTTGCTATTTCTTCATTTCCAAGGTGAAGACGGGATGTTCTGAATATGTTTGTTTAACTCGAGTCACAAATTGTACCCCTCCCCCCTTGGATATTATTTGTATGGAATTTATGTGAAATGAAAGCCCTAACTCCTTTTTTCATAGTCTGCACTTTGCATTTGAGCATCTACATAGCATATGTAGATAGAAAAAGCACTTTCCTCTTTAGGCTCAAGATGGTGTTTTGCGGATATCAAAACCTATATACGCATCAAATCAGATCTTTCTTCAAAAAGGAGGAAACTTACAGATCTGAGCATGGCTGAACTGGAAGTGCTTGTGCAGGTTCGTGTATATTGTTTCCTGTTATTTGGAGCACCTGTGGGCCTGCAAGCATGAGCCTTACTGCGCACAAATGACTGCATGAACAGTTTGAGGACAAAGTGACAGTGTCATTGAATTGTTAGCCGTGCACTGGTATCGGCTTCGCCACTAACATCAATCACACCATGTACCAAGCTTGTTTTGAAGTGCCGTGCTTATAGGCTCACTGAGGTAGCTATTACTACTAGTCTATGTTTTTTGTGTTTACTCTAACATTCCGACCTCTCGCACTGCACTTCTAATTGCAGGGAATGATGTGCTATTTTAATGAAAATCTTGCTCGTTTAATATTATATGCCTCACTGCCCATTGTTCATAGAGCCCCAGCTTAATAGTAACTGGCGGAAGTTGAACTTAATGAACCGTAATAACCTATCCTATCCTTCTGTGCTGCCGGTATGCGTGCTGCTAACAGTTTGCGTTTTTGAGCTGTTTATCACAAAAACTCCCGTAAAATGAGCTCTAAAAGTTTATGCAAGTTTGTTGGTGTAGACAACTCCAATTCGTTTTCGCTTAGTCAACAACTGATCTCTGCTCATAATTGGCAATGTGTTCAAATATATGGTCACCGAGGTTCTCTCCTATCGCCATTTTTTTTTTGTCTAGCCGAGTTAGCAGCTCTAGGTTTTTGGAATCAGCCTCCTTTCCATTTAGATAGGATAAAATCATATATTACCGCTTTTTATCTATTCTGAATATGAAGTCTTAGAGCGGAGGCGAACTGGCGAAAATGATTGCACTGGTTGTTGTGCTACAAATTCCTGGGCCGGGTGACCTTCTCGTATTACTTCTGTGAGTTGATTCTAGTGTCGTCAATTTGCCTCGAATATTTTTGCATGACAGTCATACACTTGATATGCTTTCAAGCTTTCTATCTTGCGTGCGCAGTACTAGTGATACAATTTTTTTTGAAAAGATCTCAAACGTTGTTGAAGAATCCCACTCTGTTCATGTAATTCCGTGTGCCATTTTCTCATTTATATATAGTAAAAAACTGGTAGATAATTTGAGGTAAGTAGAGGTTTCTCCTCCCTTTTCGTATAATCGTGGGTAAAGGTAGTTTCAGATGCCAATCGAACTTCCAAACGTTGCGATAGCCGCTGTGCTCATCCCCATTCCTTTTGGATTTTATGTGATTGCCATTGCTATGTACGTATAACGGAAGTTCGATATATCTTCAAAATAATGTTTCTGCATGATCAATTTTTCTGATTCTTCTTCAGTGAAAGCTAATTGTTGTTTGCTTTTTTCTTTGTTTCGAGACGATCATGATTTAGATGATAGAACTAAACTGTTTTTCTCGAGAAAGTTGGCATCTCGGTTTCTGTCAAAACTGGCAGTGATGGGTTTTATAAGGCAGTGTTAACATGTTAATTGTGCTCACTTTTACAACTGATACATGCTCGCTGGAAGCAATGATATTCTACTAATATGCAAGCTCATTCTATAATGCACTCATCTCACATTTTAAAGGCAGTGGGGCAAAAACTCGATTTTAAGATTTTGTGCTTATACGGGCCTATTCGCCATGCTGAATCCGAAAATCCACATTGGAAAGCGCGAAAACGGCGAAAAAGGGCTTTAACACAGGAGAGAATCAGCAGGTGGGCGGGGCTTTCCCCAGTGCGATTTCACGCTCCCAGCTCCCGGAGCGATTTTCTCGATTCCGCTAGCTGTCCTAGCATCACTACCGGTCAAGTGCGAATGATTGACTTGAACCGGTAGCGAGAAGGTCGCTCCGGAAGCCGGGAACGTGAATTCGCAGTGGGGAGGACTCCGCCCACCTGCTCATTTCCCTCCTGTGTTAGAGCCGTTTTTCGCCATTTTCGTGCTCTACACATTGCATTTTCGGATTCAGCGTAGCGAATAGGCCCAAGTAAGCACAAAATCTCAAAATCGAGTTTTTGCCCGGACACTGCCTTTAAAGTTATAATCAAAAGTTTGCTTTACATCAAAGACGATCCAGTCGCGCGATTCGATTTCCAGTTTTCAGTATATTTTTTCCTCGACTGGTGCTTACGCGTCATTTTTGGTCTGATGCTCAGAGAAAGAAATACTTCCAAATTGATGTCACTCGATCAATGAAGAACTCAGATCTTTTGATGCAAGTTCTAGGAAAGGTACGTTGTCTCTCAATTTCTTTTTTTTTTCTTTTTGAATGCAAATTATCTGCACTGGTGTTTTTTTGGCCTTACAATGGGTTAATGCCGCTGATTCGAAAATTGATGTCAGTTACTGTTGAGGGGCTGGGATCCAGTTAGAACGTAAGATATTCACTTAGCAGCTCTTGGAACTGTTGCTGAGTTTATAAGCAACTTCTCTCCCAATTATTTTGCACTTGTTCAACTCGAATTCAAAACCGCCTGTAATTCGGGTTCACCCAACGATATCCAAGAGTTTCTGTTTCACAGTAGCGGTTGCGAAACTCGGGGAATAGAAGGGGGGTGAAGGAGAACATCACCCTGAAAATTTTTGGGACCCATCTGTTTTGCTACTTTTCTGCGCTACTCATTAATAAAATCCTTCTCTCATAAATTTTCATTTTCATGACATATGCAGTTGATTATTTGGTAATTACAGCCTGCAACAATAGAAGACGTGCATTTACCAAAAGTGGAGGATTTGAAATATGGAACTTTGGTGGGTGATCTCCGTCAGCACTCATAGATTGTTCGTAGCGTTTCGAAGAACGTTTAGTGGCTTAAACTAAACTTTTTTTTAGATAGGATTGTCATCAGTGCATGCATTGTACCCCTTACCTGGAATTCGACGACGATTTCGTTTGAGGTGCGATGCATTGCGACGCTTAGATGAAGTTGTCGCAAAGGAGCTTGACAATCTCACGGCTCGACAGCTTCAATTTGTATGTTTCTGTGCTGCTTCTTCCTCCCATAATCAGGTTGCTTGCATTCAGCATCTTTTCATTCGACGACTCAATAATACAGATGGGACATCGGGAATGCGGGAAATTCTCAGGAATTGGTTGAAATTCTGTAAGTTAATTGAGAAGTATTTTCGAGACAATCTTGTTACTTTTCAGCAAAAGATCTGGATGATTCTGCTTATCTCTGTGCACCTGTTTTCTTCAACAAAGCTAATTAGACGACATAAAGAATATGATCTCTCAGCTTATTTCACCTCAAATCACTAGACTGTCATGACCAATGTACTCAACCGTGCCATGTCTTCTAACGATGAATCTGTTTGATGAAATCTATCTCGATTACGCAAATAAAAAATTTTGCTATGGATTTTTATAGAGAACGGGTTCAACGCCTTTCATCTCGGATTTTGTATTAGATATACCCTAAAATCCGTACAATAAGTCCGGACTTATCTGCAGGACTCTTGGCGGCGCGAGGGCGACTTTCGTTGTCAAGAAAGCAGACTTATGCTAGATCTGCTGCGGACTTATCAGATAGGTGGACTTATCTAATAGGCGGACTTATTGTACGGATTTTAGGGTATTAGATATTTCGTACTGCTATAATTCTTTCTCACAGGGGTTTCCCATAGGGACGACATTCGATGGCAATCCTCAGTTGTCAACATCGCTGGCCCATGGTATGGTTTTACTGTATTAGTGCACTATGCAAGTTTTAAAGCTTGGAAAAATTTTAATGCACCGTGTATCTGTATCAGTGGTACAATCTCTTTTCTCTAGTTAGGGCGTTGCGAAGTCTTGCGCTGCGCCATGGCAAAACTTTGTGCAGAAACAAAATCTACCATTGCAACTCGTAACTAACACATCATATTGAGATTTTTCCTTTAGTGCAGGATGTCGTGGTATCCCAATATTACCTGTTACAGATCTGATGGGAAGCAATTGGGTGTTTCTTTTCTTCGTTATCTGAAGTGAGAATGTACGTATCAGCTATAAATCTCCATCAAAACGCTGTCTTGGTGAATCCATAAAATCCAGATGCCCATACCGGTATCCGACGGCGAGGAGGATCTGCTGCTCAGGGATAGTGGAGCTTTTGCCCACTCGTTGATTCTGCGCTCGCTCACACCTTCGGATGTGCCTGCCATCAAAGCGTTATGCGCGGCATCCTTCCCTATACAGTATCCGGAATGTTGGTTCGTTTACTTTAGTGTAGTCGCATTTGCACTATGCTTTTATCTGCGTTTACAGGTTCGACGAAGTCGTTTCGGGAGCTTTGATTAGTGTTGGATTGTTCGATGAAGATCGCTTAGCTGCGATGATGGTCGCGGAGACAAAAACGATCTTACACTGTAATCCTGAAGTAAGCCTTCCCCTTTTGCTTTCTTTCACCTTTTTAGATATTGAATTTTCCTCTTTTTTTTAATCATCGCCAGACTGGCATTCACATTTGTTTGAGGAAGGTCTTCGGGGTAGAAGTAGTTCTATCCGTGGGCGGTATAAATGAGCGTGACTATCTGGATTGCGAATAGAGCAAAGCGAATTTTGATAGGTAAATGGTATGGCAGAAACTCTGATCGATACCTCATACTATTAGGGTGTCCCATAAATTTTTTCGTTTAACAAAAAATATCAGCATTTCTCGAGGACTGGGATACCTTAAAAGTTTACAAATACATGGTCGTACTTCTGTATGTATGAGAGCTATATGATCACGGCGCGGGAGGAGCTCAGAATGTCTAGGGGCGGAGTTTGTCATTTTACCCCATTCATTTTTTCTTTATTTCTAGCCTTGGAAAAAAGACGGAAATAGCACTATTGAATGTGTCAAGCATACCCTAGGAAATGGGGAATTTTAAGACACAAAATTTGGGGCTCTTCTGTAGTATGTTTGATAATCCATGACGGTAGAGTCAATAGCGTTCTTTGACGTTACTTAAAACGATTTTTTTTCTTCTAAGTGTAAATGGAACTATAGTTGGAACCGAATATTCTTTTTTCGACTAATCTATTCAAAGTGTTCGATTTGAATATTCGAATAATTGAATATTTAAAGTGAATTTATTCGATTATTCGAATAGTCGAATAGAGAAAAATTTTTGTTCGAATATTTATTCAATCGCGCAGTTGAGAAGATGGGTTCGATCGAATTTTCGAAAATTGAAATAAAAGCAAACGAGTTTTGAAAGATTCTGAAAAACTGTTGTTCGAAACGAAAATTTGAGCAAGATAAATGTACACATTCGAAGATTCGAGTGGTAACATGTTTATTCGCATGTTTCAAATGCGAGCTTTCTTGCATATTCAAATATTGCATTCAACTTCGAATACTCAGATATTGGAATATTCGATAATATTCAAGTATTCGAATAGGTCAAGTTCATTTATTTGTAGAAGGTTCGAATTTTGGAATGTGCCCAGATACGAATTTTCGGGTTCGAGTAATATAACATTTGGAAATAATACGAAATTGAATAATACTCGTCGTCTCTCATTCGTCCTCAAATTTTTTAATTATCAGTTATTCGACATTCGTTCTTTCGATGATTCTCGTTCGCTACAACTATAAGTGGTATTAATGGTTGGAGTTTAGGATCGTGATATAATTTCTGATAGTGGAGCGCATGTTGTCTACATGCTTAGCTTAGCTGTTGCCCATGCTTATCGAAGGCTGGGATTAGCGTCACGCCTTCTTCGACATCTACTGGATTCGGTATATACCGCGCACTATTTTCGGCGCGGCGCCTTAAATTTAATTCTGCAGGTTGTCGATAATCCACCCTTCCCAAAAGCTGTCTTTTTGCACGTACTTTCAACAAACACTGCTGCCATCCAATTTTATAAGTCAAATGGTTTTGTGCACCATACCACTTTATTGTGAGTTTTTTATTTTTGAGTTTTATTTTGATGACCCCTCGATCATAAAATTACAGAAATTACTATCGCCTCAAGTCAGAATATGGAGACGGCTGCACTTATGTTCTATACACGAATGGTTCGCGCCCACCATTTTCCTTGAACGACATTTGTCGATATGTCGCGACCGCTCTGTGTTTTCCAGTCAAAGCTCTCTGTCGCACACTTTTCTATTGAGTCAGTACACGTTCCCATAGGCTAGTGCAAGCAACCTCCAAATTTTGTCACTCGATTTGAGTTCTAGTCATTATTGGGTCCAGTGCATGAATCCGTTCCATAGCAGCTAATGTTTTGAACGCGGCGAGATTTTGATTGTCATACTTAGAGATTCATCAGCCGCAAAGAAAATAGATTCTTTCACCGCGGTGTGTTGGTTTAGTTGATATGGGCCGCTCTCTTGTCTTGGACTAGAGTGTACTCAGCTATGCTATATCACATTTTTTTGAGGAGCGCAGCAACTGCGTGCCTACTTTAAGCGGGTCCGAAAAATACCGATCCTAATTTTTGACTTGCAGTTTTTTTCTCCACCCCTTTCCATGGCCCTCATTGCGATTTTGAAGTTTGAGTGAAAATCCCTTTTCTGGATCTCTATCTGACGAACGCGGATGTGTCAGGCCCCATCAGATACAAACAAGACGCATTTTGACGTGGCAGAGAAATCGCGGGTGGGTGGCATGGACAAAGAGGGCGGAGCCACCATCACCAAACTTCCTTTGGAGCGTTTTTTTTTCGCCTTGGCAGCAACTTCCCATCTCGGGCATTTGCCTAATGTGGGGTCCCCTAAGAATCACATACCCCCCCCCGCTTTCCGAAGTCAGGTGGAAATGCCTTCAGATGTAAACCGTTTACCGTGCTTTGGATTCTATCACTGACTTTGCTTCGCCTTTAGATTACTCAATTTAGAAAAGCCACCAAATCGTACACAAAAAGCGCATCTGCTGCGGATCTCAAAAAATTTGTGCTTTTCTTCTTTCCTGCATGACTATAATAGTATCGAGCTATGCGTGTTTTTCGTGTCAAAGAAATAAGGGCAATATGTTTATACTCAGTTTATCTGAAAATTATGCAATTGCACAAGTTGTGTCCTTTCACCTGTAAAACTTGTTTTTGTTCTGTAAATTCACTAGGCCGTGTGCATTTTTCTTTGTTGATTTGAATTTGAACCTCTAGGGCATCTTTTCCAATTTTCCAGTTCAAAAGTTCTTCCATCATCTAAAATGCTCATCGATTCTTTAACGATATTTGAAAAATAGATTGATGTCACCTCTGACAGTGTCACGTTTCTTTCCGAATTTTTGTAATTAGAACCTTTTGATTGGAGAGGAAGCTTTTGTTTCCAATGATCTATGCCGGTAGGAGTCGTTAGCAATTAGACTAGCAAATTTCTGCATCTCATCGTTTTTCTTGCCCACAACTTGGTGTCACTATCGTCGCTTAGCTTAAATGTGTGCAACCCTAAAACTGTTAGTTTCTCTTTCTATGCGCCAAAATATTGCTAGTTTACACCTAATGTACATGTAAAATGATGTCTTATTTGTAACTGAACCTTTTAAGGCGACGGTTACGGCAGTTATGAAATTGGGTTATTAAATTTCATAAAATGCCAACCTTTAGTATTCTACATGATTTTGTGAAAATTCCTAATTCAGCGGTCCAGGATTTTGAAGGGTTTTAGTTTTTCATTTCGATATGTTATAGGACATTTACTGCAAACAAAGGGCTTTTTGAGTAACAGAATCAATGATCTCGCATAACAGTCTTTTTGCTGATAAAAAGATGCATCAGGATGGATAATGAGATTGAAAAAGCTCATTGTTGTTGTCGCTTTTGTTTCAGGATTGCGCTAGATTTGGGTTGAGCAGTCTCCGTGGCCCCTTTTGACAAAATCACTGAAAATGTTACAGACGTCATGTTTGAGGGTGAATCAGATTTCGAGACTTCCATTCATCTGTCGTACACTAGTAACAGGCGACAATGTTTTTCTTTTTGTTAGCATCATCTTTATGAAAGCTGGATACTTAGGTCGTTCAGTGAAAGATTTGAAAGACCGCTGTTCTCAAAGGCAAAAAGGCAATATTTTGGTTTTGACTGTTATGGGTTAGTTCGAGGGCAGCTCTAGACAGAGTTGAAGATTGTGAGATTTCAGTTGATACATTAATGAGGCAAGCTGCGAGCGAATAAAGTGAGAATATAATTTGGCACTAATAATTCCGCCCAGCATAGGTGGTTATAAAATCTGAATCCTGTAACGACTTTTTTATTTAAAGATGTGGTTAATCATATACTTATGACAAAAGGTTACCGCACAGTCTCTGACTCAGCACCCTCAGATTATCCACGTTCCTGGGCAGATTTTAGTGTCGCGATTGTTAGGATTATGCAAAAATAATGGCCGTTTCAAAAGCCTTCTTTTCAGGACAACTTCTTCATCAAAACTTCATCTTTGAAAGAATGCAGCACACAATTGAGAAGCTCTTTTCATGTTTTATCTAAAGATGGTTGAAGCGGGCTACCAGCCTCATCTGCTAAAAAGTTACAGAGCTTCAAATAGTTGCATCCAAAATCACAATATCATTCTAATTTTGGATGCGACTATTTTGTAATATTCGCTTTTCTGGTCAGAATTCAAGTGCGAATGATTGGACTTCTTCGAAAATTTAGCTGTTATGTCAAAGAATTTGTGTACTTACGCATACTTAGCTATTTTCTTTGGAATGTTCTTGATTGAGATATGCGTGCGCTAACATGAGTAGCCGTTGTGGTTAGTCGGGAGCCATAAATTTCCTTTGAAAAAGGCAATCGCCAAAGCTTCGCTTGTTTCTGTAAGCGTAAAGATAGGGCCTCTTGTTGGCGGTTTTTGCAAAAACATCCAGCTACAGTACGCAGGAAATCAAAAAATATTATTATTTTGGACATTAGGCCCACTGAGAAAAGGTTGAAAAAACTAAGAATTTTAGATTTTCACTTTTTTCTTTTCGCAAACTTTCTTTGTCCAAGCCCTTTCCATCTTCTTTTGTCCTACGGGCTTGCGGCTACAAGATACGTAACATATCGTTCATACTAACAAACTGAAAAAAAAACTGATGATGATCATGATCTCAAAAAAAGGGTTTCAGAGAAAAAACTTTTTTGTTTTTCAATCCATATTTTTCTGCCCGTTTGTGATGAGAGTACAGAAGAATCTGCGCTTTATTGCGAAAGATTTGGCGCTCCTGATGGGCTTTACCACATTCATGAATGTAGTTTTTTCAGAAGGTTATAGCACGTCATAGTGAAAATTTGCGTAAGGGCCATTATTTTTGTATCAACCTAATTGATTCTGAAGCAACTGCTCAAGTAATTAGCCTAGAATAATCTCCTAGTTGGCGTCTTCACTGTTGTTGACTCATCGCTAGCTTTCGTGAAAGTATTACAATAGGGGAAAGTGCCGATTGTGTCGAACACTGGCATGTCGATCGTCCCCTCTGCAATATAAGAATTTTTTCAAAATGAAAATTCTGTTTGAACTACGCTTGCACTATGACCATGCTGCCTCTTATGTTGTGCAAAATCTATTGTTCTAAGAGCTTTGTGGAAGCTTTTTATGTTGCTTTCTTTGCAATAGTTATTTGTCGACGTTTCAATTTTATCGCTGAAATCTCATCATGCTCAGGTATTTGTCGTCGTATTTGTTTAGTTGCACGAAGTATTTTAGTTTTTCTCAATAAATGTTTCCCTGTACTATTCTTGAGAAAGTCCATTGCTCAAATAAAACAGTGACCTAGTCAGCGTCAAGCAGAATATGATGCACCATATGACCGAAGGCGCTTCAATGGTTTTCTCCCATACGACACCATCCTCTATGAGAAAATGGAATTATTCTGCGTATCTAGTTAATTACTCTTTTTAATATATTCACTAGTATGTTCCGATGCGAGATTAGTACGATTTTATTAGTGGAGGCATGTATGCCTTTCCCACTAACCTCCCAGCTAGCCCCGATATCACCCCAAAACGCCAAATACAAAAATTAAATAATGTTAGTGACGAACATACCTCCACACCAGCGCTCAGATCTTGGTGCGGCTGTTTTGTCGACAAACAAACAGAGCTATATATACAGGGTGTCCCAAAAAAGTGCACTCACTGTTTGATTGTAAATAACTCTCTTGTAGTGAAGTGTTTCGGGAAGCTTCAATTACCATTTTGTAGAGCGAGGCTCAACTTAGATTGGCAGTAGAGAGCGAATCACCGACTGCTCTTCATTACTGTTGGATTACGGTAGGAACGTTGAAGAGGGTTTTGAGCCATGAAAGGCCATATTTTGCCTCAGAAAGCAAACAAAACAACCTGAAAAGTTTCACACTAGGCTAATTAGAGTTGCTGATTCTAAATGTGAGTTCGCAGCTTATTACGCAACCTTGTACATAATTGAGTTTTGAACTCAGCGTCCATGGAAACCCAATTACACAATTTTTCACTTATTTGAAAAAATTTGAAACCGCAGCTTTTTCACAGTGACACCATGTGCTTGGTTCCTACCCTATCCTACAGTAATGAAGAGCACTCGGCGTTTCGCTCTATACTTCAAATCTAAGTTGAACCTCGCTCTACAAAATGGAACCTAAAGCTTCCCGATACACTTCATTACAAGAGAGTTATTTACAATCAAACAGTGAGTATTTTTGGGACACCGATGATAATCGAGCCGAGTCTTCCTACCATCTCCCTTCATCGAAACCATGGACACTTCATCGATACATGGGATATAATCTCATGCATTTTCCATATAAAGAGTGTTCGCGTTATATCGAAAGATTGTTGTTTATTTTGATAAATTTGTTCTGATCATGAATAAACATTGATGTCTTTTTGCTGCGTTTCCGCGAGTGATGAGGTGATCATAGTTCCATTGGAGACGTGGTGATGATGGTCGTCAATGGTGATCAGATTGTTCGAACCAGCACCACCCGTAGGTGTTACCGATGCTTGCTGCGCCGCTGCCTGATGTTGCTCAGTCAGAGCACGCAGTTCTTTCCGCACACGCTAAAAATCGACCATTAAATGATGGCTACAAGAAATCGAGAGAAAATCAAATCAAAATTTATATGCACGACAAGCATAACGCAGAAGATGTCAAAGCGGCAATGTTTTGACCACTGATGGTGCATCCGCTGTGCCGATTTTCGATGCTGAGACCTCAGCTCCTGATCCAAAGGAGTTTCGTTCACAAGGAACCAAGAAATCTGCGAGGGAAGTGGACTGTCATGCAGTAAAGACTTGGTTGTAGCAGCGAATGATATTATACTAAAAATCCGATGTGTGCGCGTACGATAAACAGAAGCAACGAACTATGCAAGCATAGGCGTTGCTGACTTTAGCGGATTTAGTCATCCGGGTTTCAGCTCGATACAAAATTAGGCAACTAAGCTGTTAAAATCAAAAGAATTCTCAAATTTTGTGAGAATTGAAGCGACTTGGTAAAAGTAAACTTTGCAGTACTTGATTCCAGCCATCTTTTTTCAATTATAAGCTTGCAGAAAGTCAGAGAATTTTCGGAAGTTTTCTCCAATAGTGTGATTAATGCCAACACTCTTCAACTGAAGAATTGTGTGAAGAGATTTCCCAAACTGCTATTCAAGCATTCTAGATGCAACTCATTTCCACCTGTTAAAGGCGTTGTCCACCCAAATATAGTGAGATTTTGATCGGTACAATGAAAAGCAGAATAGATATCAATATAAGTAATTGCCCTAGTTCCACTGCAAAAGTTTATTCCAAAGCGAATTCCCTCCAGAACGTGGGTGCTACTAGGTCGCCACACGCCCAATGTGCGTGGTCTATAATGAGCCCAAAACTGGACTGAATAGTGTGTAAAAAGGCCGAGAACCCTCCTTTCATTGTGAAACACATCTTCAATATTTGGGCGCTCTCGAACCCAGTTTCGGGCATTGTTTCGACCATTCACGTTGATGGGCGTGGCGAACCCAGCAGTACATTCTGGAGGAATCTTCTCGCTTCGGGAAACATCTTTCGCAGCGGGACTTCGGCAGCTACTTTGTTTGGGGCCTCGCTATTGTGCAGCATTGTCATCTCTGCATCCGAAGTGGGTGGATAGTATAGTTAGCACCGAATATTCGTGTTCGAATAATTTATTCGAAATATTCGACTATTCGAATATTCGAATAGTCGAATATTTGAGAAAGTCCATTTATTCGATTATTCGAATAGTCGAATAAATGAGAAAGGCCTATATTCGAATAATTCGTTCATTCGACGATTTCAAAAAATGACCTATTCGAATATTCGTTCATTCGAGGAGTTTTAGAAGATACATAGTTATTCGAGTATTCGAATATTCGAATATTGCATTCAAATATTCGAATAATATTTGAACATTTATTCGAAATTAGTCGAATATTCGATAAAATTCGGTTATTCAAATATTCGTTCATTCGAATTTTGGAATGTCCCAATATTCGAATATCCAAATTCGAATAAAATGAAAATCGGAAGTCGAATAATATTCGTTCATTCGAAGAATTGTCGAAAATCAAATATTCGATATTCATTCGTTCGAAAATTTCTCGAAAATTAATTATTCGATATTCATTCGTTCGAAAAATCTTCAAAAATTGATCATTCGATATTCGTTCATTCGGCGAAAATTTCTATTCGTTACAATCATAGTGGATAGTGCTCTTAAGGAGTTGAGTAATGGAAGCGCGATATTTTTGGCCTTCACTTTTTCCCACTTTCCCTTTTTAAGCTATATATCAGTACAGATCACTAACAGTGCCTCTACTTCAAAACGTAAATCGTAACTTTTGCAGGGTGAGAGGGGTTGCCCAGCCTCAAATTCTGTTTGTAAGTAGCCTGATGGCACTGCCAAAATTGCGATCAGAGGGAAGACATAGTGCAGGAAAGTCTCCAGGAATGAGTTATACACAGCTTCTAACCAATCTGCTGTACAGATCACAACCTTTCTAAAATGCTAAACACCACATGATGAAAGAAAATGAAGACAGCATATACCTCCAAGTCAGCCTCTACATGATTCTTGAGCGATTGAATGGTAGCAATGAGTGTAAGGTTGCCATTGGTGTTTTGAAGCTCCGCGTCGTACTGCTAAAAAAAGACCGATGTTTACGCACATTGCTCCAAGAAATGATGATTCACCTGGATTATACGGCTAAGGTTCAAAGCTTTCACATTCCAATAGAACATCTGCACATCATTGAGCCTTACTACTTCATCTTGTGTAGTAAATAACTGACAGCCGAGGTCGAACTTTCGTTTGATGGCATTGATAGCGTTGAACTGCCATGCTTCAACAGTGCTCATTTTGTGTGAGACCATAGTGAATCGTGAGATTATCTCTGCAGGTATGGCAGGAGGGAATTTACTGAGCAATTTGAGCTGAACCATATGTACAGCTAGGAATCGTTCGCCTCCTCTCATGACTGACGGCAATTGTGTGTTGTCTATTTCGACCCATTGCCAGTTATATAATAACTGGAGGAATTGTTCTCCTGGAACGATGAAATAAGATTAAGCACGATCTAGTAAACGCTTGATAAATGTGTTTGTGCCTAGAATTCGTTGCAAAATTTGTGCATGAATAAGTAGCCGCGACTGTAATGCTGGCCAATTGCGCGCGCAAAATACCAGCACCAGTGGCGCGGCTGTTTATTCACGCGCAGATTATACCGCAGAACCTCGGCACGCAAGCACACTATTACACCCAAATGAGGAACCGACCCGTCGGCACTTGACGAGCATCACAGAATGCTGATGGCGGAGGAGCAGCTCGCGGAAGCTGCGCTCCACTCGGTGATTCGGCTGGCGGAATGTCGACACTCCCTGCATCGGAGCCTGTGTACCGCTTCTTCGGTGGACGTGGATCCGACGGTGAGGCTGCGACGTCACACCTTTCGATATGTCTCTCCTCGTGGTCAGGAGATGATGAAGACTTTGTCACGGCTACAGCTTCTTGTCCTCCGAAAACCTAGAAAACGAAACAGAGAATGAGTTTGCCATGGCGACATCAACAACTACCGATCAAAACCTGAAGCCTGCCTTTTTAACAGCGGAGAAAAGGTCAGTGCAAGCTCTAATTATAGAACAAATACTGATTATAGGATCTATGTAAGCAGATTGAATATTTAGAACTAGTCTCCCCTACTTTTTGAACTGACTATCGCGAACCATCAAATGAATTTCATTGAAAATTAGTGACAAACTAGTGCATAGCAGTGCATTAAATTTGATAAATTTTTTTGTCCTAAATATCGAATTTTTTGCGGAACGTTCGAATGCCTATGTCGTTGGGTGAAAGATGATTTTCGTCAAATTTGGCAACTACGAATTTTGAGATACACGCAATGAACTAATCTGTCGTCTTCAGTAAAGATTTGTGTTTATTTATCGCACTTTGCGTCATTACAGTGCTGACTACAGTTGCCAGGAAAATAAGAATTTCTAAGCATTCACATTTAGAGGAGTTCTTTCAAGGGAAGCCGTACTGTTTGGATCATGAAGGTAAACATGCTTAATGTATTGATTTACAATATCACATTTTTTTCACTTTGGGAAAAATTATGTTACAGGAACGATTGGGGAACGATTGATCACAGAAATTCGCTAATTTGTGGCCGTATTCATCAACGAACCCAGTGGGTTCCGGAACCCACTGGGTTCGTTGATGAATACGGCCACTGGAGGTATCAACAGGGCACGGCATAGATCGTCTGGAAACAGGCTGGACTTCAAAAATTAAAGGAGATTTCGTTTTTGACGAGTCGGGGCCGAGCACAAAGAAAAAGTGCCATTTAGTCGAACACAAGCTTTTCGGACAGGTTATCACACGATTGACATGCTCATCGTGTATGACGAAAAGTGCGCGCGATTTGAAAGCAAGATTAAAATAAACAAATTGCTTGTTTACAGCGCACACAGAATCATATGACATCAAAACTGAACTGTATGCTTAGGAAGTTATCTGCGGAAGGATTATGTAAAAAGATTTGAAAACTTATGTGCACTAATACCTTCCAAAATTAGATCGTCTCCAGACGGCCACCAGACGATCTGAGATCGTCTGGAGCCTATACTTTCGTCACTTCACGTAAGTTTTGGATCTTTTCAGCATGGATGGATGCCCCGGCCAAGAATCTATCCCTGAGCATAGAACATTTTCATATCACCTCCTTTCCGTCATTTTTTATCCTCTTTTTTTTCGAAAATGGCCTTAATAGATATCGCGTCCCAGCGTCTTTTTTGCATCCTCTCCTTTTCAATTTTCATTTTCAGTTCTAGCTTTTTCTTCAATATTTTGATGATTTCTTCCATTTTCTTTCTTCGTCTTTCTTCAGCTCGTGATCTATTTTGATCGTTCTGTGACCATGTAGAACCTTTATGAAGCAAAATTCTGTAGATTTTGTGGTTTTTCTTTGAGAGTTTGACCTGAAATCGCGAGAATCTCAACTCGCAGCATGTAAATGGTTTTGTCAAGAACTAAGTGAGTATGCAAGGATCCACCAACAATCGGAGGGGGGGGGTAGAGCAAGGGTTAAAGGGAACTTCGTAAAATTTTCGAAAGTCAGGGGGGACTGCGTCTTCAAAAAGCCTAGAAGCGGACTCGTGCCGGGCCCTGGGTATCAATCGCCCGTCCGGGTAAGGGTTCCCATTCAGGTAGGGCATTTGAAACATCGTGACGATGGCGCGACCGCGTGCTACACGCTGCTGCTCATGCTGTTGATCTATCATGACAGTGCTAACAAGGGAATGGTCAGAAGTCGAAGTGGCCAAACCAAACAAGCTGTATATCATTCGATGCAGTATGGAACGCTGACTTCAAATCTGTCTTCCTTATCTGCTTATCGCTTCTGTGGGCGAAGTTACAAGCGATTTTATTGTGAAAAAATCATACATAAAAACAGCGAAATTGAGCACAGTGTTGCACTTTTAGCTCGGCTTCTGGCTTCGAAAATTTTAAGTAAGCTAGCTGCATGTTTCGGCCCAGCATTAAGGCGAACTTGGCTCTGTACGGCTAAATTTTCAATTTCTAGCATAATTTCTTAGCAAAATAATGGTCTTTAATGGCTTGTAGCTTCGTCCAGAAAAGCGATAAGCAGGTAAGGAAGGCAGATTTAAAGTCAGCGCTTCATGCTGCATGTAATGGTATGCAGCTTGCCTGGATCGGCCACTTCGATTTCTGACCATTCCCTTCGATAATTCGTATGATCCCGAACGGGATCCCAGCAGCATAACTTTACGAAGTTTTCATTTAGTTTTTGCAAAGATAAATGACCAGAAAATGAGCCCCTGGAATCGTATGGGATCATACAAAAACCGAAAATCTCAGCTTATACAGCAAAGTGCTGCTATTCATTGTGCTACAATATTAGGATAGTGAAGCTTCCAAAAGATGGACAAGGAACAAGAACGAAAAACACGATCTCCACAGCAGTGAGCTATGAAGCGGATACAACCTAAATGGGAACTCATACCAGGACGGGCGATTGATACATACCTCTCTTGGTATCATTCCTGTAACTTACTCAAACAGAAAGGATATGTCGCAGATTCTTTACAAAATGAAAGCATAAAGTCGAATAGAAATTGCCATCATCTCCAAATTAGTTCAAGTTCTATGAACAACAAAGCAAAAACATATTACAGGACAAAAATAACATAGGTTGTGTAAAAACCTTCAGCTTTTTGAGAGTTCTCATGTCAGAAGAATCCTGTATGTATAGGGCATTCGAAAAATCATGACGATGGCGTGACCGCGCGCGACACGCACGCGCTTCCATTTCTTGGTTTCTATCTCTACTAAGGTGGTTTTTCTGCTTACATGTGTTAGTACTTAGACACTGGAAGTCACTGAACTGGTGACTTCAAGTGCTGAACTTTAAGTTGGTGCCTGTTTATATGGGTGTTTTATGCTCCTGTGTGCGCAAAGTCCGCAGTCAACTCATCTCACGATTTTAAGAATGAGCCATACTCGAGATCTGATTACGAATATGTTCAATCGCAAGAACTTCGCTACAGGAGCGGATGCGCTGAGTTTTAAAGAAAGGACGTGTTTCAATATGCATCACTTCCGAGTGCTGTTGTCCTACTAGGGATAAATTGCGTTTCATACCGGATGTAATGCTGTACCTCTACATAGGCATTATCGACAAGTGCATTCAGAAATTTGAGTTGTTTAGCTTAGAATGGCAATGAGGCGATCGATGCGACTGACAATAATATAATCAGTTACTGGTTGTGTTCCAGCAAGAGCGGAAGTAATTTCAAACAACTGAATTTCGTTGGTTGAACCATATTTATGTAGCAACATTTTTGAGCATTATGCGAACTGTGGCAGTGATGGACTTGGATGCAAGCTCAGTCCGAATCCGCCCAGAGAATTTCTCTGATGAGATCAAAGTTGTATTGGAATCAGCTGATTGATGGGATGAAATCAAAGTTCTTGTCTCAAACTATGTTCAGCGACGAGATGAGTCAGAAAGTTGTAAACAAAAAATATCACCAGCGTTTTATTTGGCACAAAAATTTCGATGTTCATATGGGGAGATTGTAGAATTTGAGCAAGAGAGACAATTAAAAATTGTGATGTCTCATTGTGAGTTTTTCGAAGGACTTAGTCTTCGACTACGGTGAGTTCAAAAGAGCGTTATCTCAAGCCACTGTCTGCTTATGACGTCACGCTTTCGAGGTAAAGGAAATGACTTTTACAATCAGCATTTTGGCTCCAGTTAGGTAGAACCGGAAGTTCCGTTTTCAAAGAATATTTCGTTCTTTCTCGACGTCTTGCAAAATTCAATTTCATTACAAAATTGGATGGTCATTTTCTAAAAGTCGGAGGCTTTCTGCAAAGTTCTTGCGGAGACAGATCGGTGATTTCAAGCATGCTCATCAATCCAGAAATTATGCAAAAGATCTGAAACAGTCATTAGCTCAATCCCAAGACATCCACTCCTTAATTGAGCAAAGTTTTGTGCTGACCAGGCTTATCTGTGGAAAGTTATGATTTTTACGGAAAATAAAAAAAAACAACTTTGCCGTTTTTCACGAATTTTCTCGAAAATCACAGCTTCCCACGGAAAAGCTGTATCAGCACAAACTTTGCTCAATCAGAAAGCGATGTCCTGCAATTTAGGCTAATAATTGTACTGGATACTGCACGGTTTTTAGTTTTGATTAGCACGCTCAAAACCAATTCTGATGATCGCCTTCTTCAACCCTGTCTCTGCGACTAAAGCTCAATAGACAGCTTGGAAGGTGTTATCAGAAAGTATATGATGCATTCTTTCTAACAATAAGAAAGATGATTTGCAAGAACTGAAAATGCAACAAAGTTACGATTCTTGTAAATATTGCGAGGGTACTTTTGGTTCAACCTGAAACTAGCAAAACTGGAATTATGGAGAATCTAATACCTGAGGAATGCAAAGAAGCTAGGGTTTCCATTTGGATAGCTTCAAGATTTGAAGTCCTTCAGTACACTAATTTGGTTCTTATCCAACTCGCTGAGCAAATCTTCCGGGCAATGCAGGCACCATAGAGGCACTACAGTCGAGGATTTCTCCCAATATAGTGTGTTTGCATTGCAGGTGAAATGCGGTAAAATTTGAGCGTGAACAAGTAGCCATACCAAACGCCGGCATTTTGCGCGAGCAATTGGCCGGCGTCTTGGGCTTAGCTATTTTCTAACGCGCAAATTTCACCGAATTTCACCTGCACTGCAAGCACACTACATTATACAAGCGGAAAGTCCTGACTGTACCCACGGAGCTGAGGGACAACTTCTTCACTCGTTCGCGATTTTCACTATTTAAAATAAGGGAAGCGCAAAATTTGACCTCAGACAAGAGCAATTTGGTTTCCTAGTCCTCGTCCTCTAGTCATATAACGATAGCTATGGGAACTTCACTAGGAGAGGTAAAGGCTGCTGCATGACGAAGGCGCAACGACGATATTAGTTGAGCGTGCGCGAACGCGACGCGCGCGTATCCTCACCATTGTACAGTAGGTTTCGACCCGCTTTAGGCGGAAATTGGATTGGCAGGAGTCCGCCTCGCAACAGCTCGCGCAGTTTCGCAGCTACAGTATATCCTATCGTGCTGAGAACCCATGTCCGCGTCTCTTCAATTTCCTTAGTCTTTGCTTGGCAAAATGCCAGCGCTATGCGCTCGCGAAGCCTCCGACGATGCGCATGCGCTGCTCCACGTAGAATGTCTCGCCTAATCCGGGATGAAACCGACTGTACTAGATCCCGCACCTCATGCGCTCTGCGGCTAATTAAGCCGCGTTCGGCCCGAAGGTATTGCGCCTTCGTCATGCAGCAGCCTATAGGTGCCAGACTTATCCTGTACGAACGGTTTATGCGGTTCATCCTTTCGCTATTGGTCAAATCACTGAATGGACCAATAGCGAATGGATGAACCGATGAACCATTCAATTGAGTCTGGCACCTGCCAGCGTTTGAATTAAGGCGTGAGATATATGTGGATCTGCGAGTGCAACCGCTGCGCAGGTCTTTACGCAAATGTTCCAACCAAGGAAGTGTCTTGATTTTAAATCAACTGGTTCTATGACTTCTTTGCCTTCGTTTCTGGTTTAGTTCTTCGTTGATTTATTTGAGATTTTTGTGTGAAAGTTCGAGTGTGAATGTCATGCGAATTCTGCTTGGAATATACCATTTGAGCCCCTCTCAGCAAATGTTCCAAGCATCTTTTGAAAATGTAAGTTCTATCGAGTAATCATGCTAATGGTTTTTTATGCTAGTGAGTGTCCAATTTGCGTAAGAATGATAACGATACTAATTGATCAGCAGGAGTGTCAAAGCGTCAAAGTTCAGCTTATCTAATCCAGTGAACTCGAAGCAAAAGTCCCTTGAGCAGGTAATCAAGGTATCTTTGGCACGTTCAGGGATACATTCATGTTACTATGGCATGAAGAAACAATAGTGGAAAGCAGCTTTAGCGCTGGTAGATAACTAGTTCCTTGGCATGATATTACAGCTTGGCAAAGCTCATCAGAAATATTCCATCCACACAGGGACTGGTTGTTTTTGTTGGTTATCAACACGTTCATTCATTAGTATCGATGAAATCATCCCAACGTATTGAATGGGCCACGTCCCCAATCTGCGCTAACAATAACCCGTTTCAATTAATGCTGCCGCGTACCAGTTAATTTCCATAATGATGACGCGTCTCACGTACTTCATAGTTTTTGAGAAAAATGGACGAAAAGAAGAAGGTGACTTGAGTCATGGTTGGAATTGATTATAGAGAGGAGTGGGAATTCAAGGTGTGAAGTATATACAGCTAATTAACGAAGCAAATTAGAACAGTAGGGAGCAGGTCAAGAAGAAAAAAACAGGGCGATTACCTCCGGGCTGCCGACGATGGAGACTTCGACGCGCGGCTCATCGCTGATCGTGGCGGTGCTGCTCGTGGTGCTGGCAATCGTGGCTGCAGAGTTTGAGCTTGTGGTCGGCAGAAGGGCTCGATCCTGGACCTGCTCCTGCTGGGTACTGTCCATCGACACGCTCGACGTCAACATCCGAGCTGCTACTCCCCCCGCTACGGCAACGCTATCGATTGTGCTGCCCCGTCGCCCTCATCAACCCCGTGCTCTCTCGCGCTCTTCTGACGCCGAATATGCACCGCGACGTCACCGGCCGCGAATCCGTTCGTAGCTAGGATGCTCTGCACCTGCACACTTCCTCTGTAGATCTTCAGTGGTCAAAGCCTTTTAGGAACAGCCCATTTGCACAAATTCTCCTCCCCCCCCCCCCCCGTAGTGGGTAGGCAGGGAAATAATCTAGTAGTATATATTGCTCTTTCTACGTAGTCATTCCTGAATTATCGCCCGCTTCTGTGAAAAGTGTTTACTCAAGGAAACACGCCTTCTGAAGCTGCGTGCTGTCTTTTCGATTTTGTGATGTCAGCAGTCTATGCTCAGTTTGGTTATACTCAGTTCCATCCTTGCGACTTTGTATGGTGCATCTTCCAACATTGTTCCCGTAGGTAGAATTAACGTGGCTGGCTGCCTTTCAATCGTTTTAACACAGGCAGTGTCCGGGCAAAAACTCGATTTTGAGATTTTGTGCTTACTTGGGCCTATTCGCTATGCTGAATCCGAAAATGCACATTGTAGAGCGCGAAAATGGTGAAAAACGGCTCTAACACAGGAGGGAAATGAGCAGGTGGGCGGGGTCTTCCCCACTGCGAATTCACGTTCCCGGCTTTCGGAGCGACCTTCTCGCTTCCGGTTTCAAGTCAATCATTCGCACTTGACCGGTAGCGATGTTAGGACGGCTAGCGGAATCGAGAAAATCGCTTTGGGAGCTGGGAGCGTGAAATCGCACTGGGGAAAGCCCCGCCCACCTGCTGATTTCCCTCCTGTATTAGAGCCCTTTTTCGCCGTTTTCGCGCTTTCCAATGTGGATTTTCGGATTCAGCATGGCGAATAGGCCCGTATAAGCACAAAATCTCAAAATCGAGTCTTTGCCCGGACACTGCCTTTAACTCCAGCAAATCTGAGGGGTTTATTCTACTCAGACAGTGGGAGCGGGCAGCGCGCGCGCAGTCACACGGTGGCGCAACACCCAGTGCGCGGGTGGCGGGACATTGGATGTCGCGCCGCTGGTGCTGGCCCGCGGGTGGCTACATTTATTCAGTTTTTCATTGCGCTGCATTTCACAGGTCTTGAAAATGAATTCCACTCTTCATACGTCAAAAAAATATGAATTCGTATTTGAATCCAAGAACTCAGATCCAGCAGCCATTTGCAATGCTACCGAAGGCTAATGCTTGTAAGCAAAAAACAACTTCCACTTCTGCGACTATTCATACACTACGATGTAATATCTAACCCCTTGAATGATGAGGCAGCCTGACCACTGCGTCGTATACTGCGCGGGTATCCTTTGTGCTTACAGCATGTGATAATTGCAGGCGCGCGGGCCGCACGGGTGGAGTATAAAGGCACGCGCGCGGCGTGCTACAAAATTAGGCGCGCGGATGGCGAGATCGAACATAAACGTAGCGCGCGGGTCGCGGTGTTGGCCATTAATACGCGCGCCGCACGCACCAAATGTCTAGGATGGCACGCGTTTGGCGTAGTGCTGGACACGCCCACAAATAAGGCACGCGCTTTGCCGCATTGACCATAAACGCGCGTGCGCCGCACGCTCCAACTATCTGAGTAGCTTGATATGTTTTAAAATGATCGAAAGGCAGCCACGTTGATAGTCCTATCGGAACAATTTTACTGTTGCAGGATATCATCCCTTGATCAAAAGATGATAGCGCTTATCATCTTGTGTAAGTGATCTTGGGGCGGTATCAATCTCCCGATCTCTGACGAGCGCGTTTTTTGCGTTTTACCACCCATCGCTCTTGGGATTGGGAAGTGTTAATACCACTCTTGAATTGAGTTGTACTCGACGATTATAATTTATCGCAGGATACCCTCATTGGCACATTGTGCTTCTTTTTCATACTGTAGGCTACTTTCTCTTCTGAAAATGTGAATGGAGATTGACTACGCAGGCTCTTCGATCCCTACTGGCTACAGTCCTCGCGTCATTCAGGCTGGGTTCATACTGATTCCTAGTAAGTTCTAGGAACTAGTAAGTTCCGGCACACTTCTAGCACAGCGCTCGAAAAATGCGCTGCGTTGGAGCTTTCCGGAATCTACGGATCAGTATGAAACCCAACCTTGGGAACCTTGCGGTTATAGTTAGTATCTGACGGTCAACCTAGTGTTCTTGCAATGTCAGCAACATTTGCGCGTGAATAATGAGACTATTTCCCTACAGCGCAAATCGCATGCAAGTACTATAAGCGTTTACAAATACGGGACCTTTCGGCCAGTGTTATTTGCGAAGTTTATTGAGCCCGTTCCTCATTTCTGTGTTTCAAACATATGTCAAACAAAACTCTAATTTCCTCTTTACCGATGTACAACCCTTGATATGAGTGTTCATAGTCTGCGCTGTATTGTCCCCTACTGCACTTTTCAATAAGCTTTTACATAGTATCTTGGTGCACATGTTATTTTGGGACTTGATTGCGATTTTCGCAATATCTTCATCAGTATAATAAACTACTCAAAATTAGTTTTCAATGCCATTGTAAAGAACACAAAGAGATTTTTGTAAAGGTCACGCTGCACCGTATCTGTTTGAAATCGGGTCCAATTTTGGCGATAGTTGAGGCGGATTGAACTTTGATGTGATCTGTCGTAAAAGGACCATGACTTTTTTTCCAGATATGGATCCGAATGGTCCATCGCATCTTCCGATGGGGATGCCGGCGAGTTTACCTCATCAGCAAAATGCGTCAGGTGTGGATGAGCTAAGTGACAAACAGCTGACACCGGAGGTTCTACAGATCCTGATGACATTTTTGAGGAAGAATGGACTGTCGGTGCGTTTCTGATATCTCATTTGCGCTCTAAGAGTCTCGTCATTGTAGGAGACAGAAGAAGCTTTGTCGAAAGAAGCGAACAACCTCCTGGTTTTGAATGAAGATGTCTCCGGTTCTTCGGCGTTTCCTTCAAGGTGAGCCTCTTTCCTGTTTATATTTTCTTTTTGCTTATCTTGAACATTCCAGTGAAGCTCTTCTCTCCGAGTTCGATTCTCTTGTGCAGTTTGTGGATTCCTCTTTTGATTTTTTCCAAGCCGAGTTCAGTCTACTTTTGTTCCCGGTTTTCGCCCATTCCTATATCAAGCTTTTGCTGGAAAGCTCCGTAAATAATGGTGAGCTTCGACCTATGGTTATTACTCGCATATAAATTAACTAGGTTTTCAGCCAGGGAGTTCTTCAAACGTTACTGTAAACGAATCCCTGCTCCATACGAGGAGCTAGTGTACAAACTCGAAAGACTTCAGACAACTCAGCAAGTCCAGGCTGACACATATGTGCAACTTCTTCTGTGAGTACTTCAAGCGATTTTTTTTTAGACGTATCCTAAGATAGTCTCAGACTGTTTTGTTTCCAGAAAAAATCCCTTTCTGGTGAAAATGTCGAAATCATCGCTCAAGCAGCTAGAGATACCTTTGGCTCGAACACCAACTATCAAAAATATTGTCAAAGAACATATCACGCTTGAAGGTAAGATAGTAGTGTCACAAAGCCATGTATTCATTATCTACTTATCTAGCTTCTGATGTTGTTTCCAAACTGAGATCAAGCATCGAGTGTCAAATGGGAGGAGTGCTTGGACAGGTGTCCAAAAACGAAAAAAGGCATAAGGTATCTACTGCTCGAATTGATTTTCCTTTTCGCTAGATTTTCGATATCTCTCAGGCTATCACAACCTACTATTTACCTAGTATTGTGTCTGAATCCAGCTTCCTATAGTGATTATGAGTCAGAGGTATTTTTTGAATGGGTCTTGTAGATGCACTACGGCGTTCTCAAAGACGATGTGTCACAAGCGATTGAGAAGAAGAAAACTCGTGGAAAAGAGCTTAAGGATAGCAAAAAAAGCCAAGCATTAGCTCCTGTCCCAGATCGAATTCCACTTCCACCTTTGAGTGAAGCTTTGAGAGAGGAACGTCGTAAAGCGATGAGGGTAGGGACTTTCTATTTTTTGTTTTCGGCATTTTGTTTGTGGGTGATCTATCCTGTTATCATCATTAAGGACGCAAACAAACTTACATTGGTTTCACAAGAATATCCTCCGTCCGTTTGCATGTTGACTGCTCTAAATGCCTATGGTAGTGTTTCTTGTTCTGATGTATCCGATGATTCTTCAGTTTTGAGCATCGGGTTCGTTTTGGCCATATTTCGGCTGTGAGATTTGGTAATTCTGTTCTATCTTTAGTGGATCCGACGGCTCCATAGAGCTTACTGCTTTTGACGAGGATCAGAAACTGAAGAAGTTGCGTGAAATGGAGGAACTTGAACGAGTATGTTATAATTGCATTTTGTCGACTTGTATTTGAATATTCTGTCGCTCCTGAACTGCCCAGATTTGTTCGATATTTTTGTAATTGCAGATTGATATGGATGCGGACAACGTCACTGACCTCCTGTACGATTACAATAATGCTAAAGCTGAAATTACGTTACACGTAAGAAATGTCGCGGTTTGCTTGAAATCTTTTCATGGCAGTGCGAGTTTTTGAGAGTATCAAGAAGCTTTTCTGACTAAAGTCACCGTTATTGTTCTTCTTGTTTAACTGAACCCTCATTTTGATGTCTTCGATATATGCGAGGCAAATCTCAAACATTTGCACGGTCCATGCCCATTCTAGTCAAGTTCAACTACTATAACGTTTTTTGCGAAAGTTATTCATGGGCGTCCATATTTATCGATAACCTCTTGTAACCGATGCGCATACTTGCGCAGAATAACATGCGCTAGGCTTGCTGCGCACATGGTGTGGTAATAAAGCTTGAGAAAACTTCTCTTGGTTCACCTTTTTCGCATACTGTGCGAACTTAGCTGCTGATAGAGAATCTTCATAATAGAGTCTGTTTGAACTTTTCAATTTTTTTCGTGTATCGGCCCTCTAATAATCTTTCAGGAATTTGTAGCTCCACATCCATTTTGCAATCTTTTCTTGGATATTTGTAGGGGCATTCTGGTCCAGTTTATTCGACACATTTCTCTCCCGATAATCGCTTGCTTGTATCTTCTTCGCTGGACAGCACTATTCGCTTATGGAGTTTGGAAACCCAGAAGAATGTGGTAGTCTACAGACTCAGTCGGCCGGTTTGGCAGGTATGTTATTTTTTGTGGATTGAGGCGTCTGGTGTGCTTTCATTTGAACGATTTGCCATATGTAACCTTGATACCATTAGATTTTTGCTTACAGGTACAATTCTCGAATCGCGGGTATTATATGTGTAGCGGAAGTGATGATAACACTGCTGCATTGTGGTGTACAGAACGAATGCATCCATTACGAATTTTCGCTGACAGTTATGGATCAGTTAATTGTGTGGACTTCCATCCGAATTGCAATTATGTTGTGGGAGGTACTTCTCTGTGCTCCTTGCCCACAACTGTAATTCTGCCGTTTAACACCTTACTATGGTCTCAATTCAGGCAGCGAAGATCGTTACGTTAGAGTATGGGATGTACTCACAGGTACCTGCGTCCGCACTTTCTGTGGACATTCAGCTGGCGTTACTGCAGTCAAAGTGAGTAGATGTTTTTTTGACGAGCGAAGTCCTACAAATCTCTCCGCAGTTTTCACCTTGTGGTCGCTACATAATATCAACTGCTGGAGATGGAGCAGTTTGCGTTTGGGACGTTGCCTACCAGAGATTGGCTGGAATGGAGACGAAGGAATTCCGTGGTTCTATGGTACGAACCATCCCATCAGGATTTTTGTTGCTTTCTTTACTCCATACTATTTCAGGGGTCCATATGTTTTTCGCGAGACGGTGGATCCTTTGCGGTTTCGCAAGGCGGTGAATCCTTATCAATATTCTCTCTTGACAATATGATTGCGGCTACCAGTAACGTCACAACAAACAATGAACTCTGTTTTGACCCTAAGTAAGTTTATTAACGAAAGTAACTTTTTCTTGGCAGGTTACGCAGAGCGATTTTTCTCTGGCAACACTCCCCCTTCTATTTTGCTTCTCTGTCTTTTGTGTATAGCAAATCTTTGAGTGTACTTAATCTCTTAACTTTACCTTTGCCTAGTATGGTTCACACTCTTTTAGGGCATGTCTTCTGTTTCTTCCCCCCCCCCTTCCTTACTTGCAGCGCATCACATCATCACATCACATCGCCAGATTATCAACAGACTAGCTGGCTTACCCGGCTCCGCCCGGCCTTGTCAAAAACGATAAATGTTTTCAATCCCTGTACACCTTTACCTGTGCTCACTTCTACATGCATTTCCCTGTTCCCGCTGTGTGAGTAATCAGCATGCTCACTTATCCCCCCCCCCCCTGTGCCAATTAACAGTCCAGTAGCTCAAACTTTGCAAAAAATCGATAAAATCCATAAAGGTAACGGGTAATTCTAAAAACTAATGGCGTTATTCGGCTATCCGGGCCCTAAAATGTTTTTGCAGTGGGTCTTCTTAAACTCTGTATATGGGGGTTATTCAAGCCGCTTATGACGAATATGGTAGTCATTTAGCGTGGCAGCGGGTAAAAATCATGAACCTGCCTGAAGCCTTGACAGGGAATTATCTAAAATGCTGTTTCAAGAATATCGTGCTCAATCCCCACGATAATAGCAATTCGTGTGGTATAAAAGTTTCGCGTAATGCTTTCCTTATAGGACCACTGCCGCGCGCGATACTCCCTTCGGAGGCTTTTGCTTAGGCAAAAACAGGGGGAGGGAAATTTGCCGCGTGCGTTACACGTTGGGATAGGTTAACAGGATGGCGCTGGAGACCGCCATGCAAAACAACCGATTCCCCATTTCGTGAATATCCGGGATCTAAATTGGACCGAAATCGAAAAAATGTCCATTCAAACCCTGCAACTCACCATAACTTCATTAATGCGTTATTACAGCGAGCAAGCATCATATTCATAAGCAGTTTACTTGTGGACCGTTACGGGTAAGGTTTTGAGCAAATCTGGAACTTCGATCCATCTACACCCACCGTAACCCAAGAAAATGCACTATCTTGCGAAATCAGCATAATATCCATGTTCAGCGCTAAGTGACCACTCTAGACCAGTTTAAAGTAAATCTATGTTTTCGACCCCATACTAACCACCATAACTCTATGAAAAGGTCCCAATATGCAGAGAGAGTATGGAATTCGGGGAGACGGCCCTTCTGAACCCCCCGTCCCCTACAGTAATCTAGAACTAGGACGCGCGCGCATGCGCTGCGATGACTGCGGACGAGTGCTCCGCGAAGGGCTCGTATTTTCGAAAATCACCAACTTCTTTCGTGCGGCTGCTGCATTATGGAATGTAAGCCAACCACGCTGATTTCAACCAAACACAGCTACCATCCTCTGAATGTCTGGTATTCTGAGCCCTACTTCCCAGCAGGTATGTTTATGATTTCCCTACTTCCAAGCAGGTATGTTCATGATTTATGGGACATTTCCGAAGTCTTTTCATTTCCATGATTCATAAAAAACATGAATCTCTTTTGAATTTTTTCGAACTTTGTTTTTCTTTGCTTTGTTTCCACTTATATCCCTTGTGTGTGCGATCCTTATAACCTCGTGCATCGTCACATCATATTGCTAATGTGAGCTGCTTGATGTTATTGAGGAAAGCCCACGTAATCGAAGTTTGTTCAACAACTCTTTATAAAGGCCAATTACTACTCAAATTGGTGATCTACGCTAATTCGTTATCAAATGCGTATTTCCTTCTTTTCGGTGCATCTCTGTTGCTTTCCAAGAAAATCATCATCTCCTCAAAATTCTCATTCCTAGTAAAATTTACGAACGTGCATTTGAAATTTTTACGCTATAAAAAGCTTGAGCGTGCAGCAAAGAAAAGATCGCTACCAAAATCAATCCATGTAGATCACGCTACCAAATGAAGGTGATGCATTTTTTGATTGCGTTTTTGATATGGACGGTGTAAAAAAAACTTCATCTCATCATAAAAAAAACGTATGCTTCCCTACTGGCATGCATGTAGTGCACATTTCAATTGAATGTGACTAGATGATGCTGCAAGGAGGCAAACGTAGGAGAGTAGAGCATGCAATCGAACTAAAAAACAGTAAAATAAGTCGAAAAAGACATTGAAAATGTGTCATAGGTCAAAAACATACCACCTTAGAAATTGGCCGGCGATTTAAGTAGTGTGGAGTAGAGCGAATAACTAAGTTATTGAATTCTAGGGTATTTGGGGAATTTAGGAATTTTCTAGAGAATTACCTCCAGAATCTCATTGTGGAGTAGGTTACCAGCGATGTGAAACTCGTCCGCCTCCGCAGCGCGTCTACCCAGGTCAGCCGCTCGCTCCCGCGAGCTAGCCAATCATGGAGTGACCTCTAATTAGCGCTGACCTCTTATAGCCGTCGCGATTGGGGCAGGTTCAGAAGGGCCTACACCCTGGAATTCGTAGTTAGCATGTTGAATAAGTTCTCTGGACCAAACTCCAGCCGAATTCATGATTTTGACTTCATACCGTACACCTACCGTAACCACACGAGGAGACTTTTTGCGGAAAAAGTGTGATATCTGTTTTCAGCACGTAAGATAACCCTTATACTTAGAAGTTTGAGTAAGCTCTACGAAAAAAAATTTTAGGGCCCGGTTAGCCGAATAGCGCCAAACTAATATCGAACTCGTAATCAGCATGCTTGATTACCCCCCTGTGCAAACTCCCAGCCCCGTAGCTCAAACTTTGCAAAAAAATCGATAAAATCGATAAAAGTAATCGATAATTGTGAAAACTAATATTGTATTCGGAATCCCCATGCTCGATTACCCCCTGTGCCAACTGCCAGCTCCGTAGGTGAACTCTGCAAAAAAATCGATAAAAATCGATAAAATCGATATCGATCGATGACGAAAAGTAGCCTATGACACCCGCCGGGGCCCAAAGTGTATGTGTGCCAAGTTTGGTCCGGATCGGTTCAGAAATGGAATTTTCTATTCGGAACATACGTACAGGGCTTTACAACCTGAGTGTCCCACCCGCCCCGCTAGGACGCCACGCTTAGGTCCGCGCAGCGTTCGTGGCGCTGGCTGCGCGTCGACTGAAGCTTGGCGAAATCCGGGCGATACGCAGCAAACGCCGCGCGCGGCCTGAGCGAGGCGGCCGCGTTGGAGGAGCCGCGCAAACGAAACTTGCGACTCTCAGGTTGAAAAGCCCTGTACATACATACAGACATACAGACAGACATACAAACAGACATTCAGCTTTATATATAAGATCGATAAAATCGATATCGATCGATGACGAAAAGTAGCCTATGACACCCGCCGGGGCCCAAAGTGTATGTGTGCCAAGTTTGGTCCGGATCGGTTCAGAAATGGAATTTTCTATTCGGAACATACGTACATACATACAGACATACAGACAGACATACAAACAGACATTCAGCTTTATATATAAGATCGATAAAATCGATATCGATCGATGACGAAAAGTAGCCTATGACACCCGCCGGGGCCCAAAGTGTATGTGTGCCAAGTTTGGTCCGGATCGGTTCAGAAATGGAATTTTCTATTCGGAACATACGTACATACATACAGACATACAGACAGACATACAAACAGACATTCAGCTTTATATATAAGATCGATAAAATCGATATCGATCGATGACGAAAAGTAGCCTATGACACCCGCCGGGGCCCAAAGTGTATGTGTGCCAAGTTTGGTCCGGATCGGTTCAGAAATGGAATTTTCTATTCGGAACATACGTACATACATACAGACATACAGACAGACATACAAACAGACATTCAGCTTTATATATAAGATCGATAAAATCGATATCGATCGATGACGAAAAGTAGCCTATGACACCCGCCGGGGCCCAAAGTGTATGTGTGCCAAGTTTGGTCCGGATCGGTTCAGAAATGGAATTTTCTATTCGGAACATACGTACATACATACAGACATACAGACAGACATACAAACAGACATTCAGCTTTATATATAAGATCGATAAAATCGATATCGATCGATGACGAAAAGTAGCCTATGACACCCGCCGGGGCCCAAAGTGTATGTGTGCCAAGTTTGGTCCGGATCGGTTCAGAAATGGAATTTTCTATTCGGAACATACGTACATACATACAGACATACAGACAGACATACAAACAGACATTCAGCTTTATATATAAGATTACTATGAACATTTAGTGATCTTGAATTTGCTAATTTGATTTGTCTGCACTGGCCTCAGTCAGTCTCATACCCTTGCATCAGTTTTTCTTATTACCTAGTGGCAATGATCATTGGTGATGATTTACTTATTTTTGATCTGCAGTTAGTTTTTTTTAGAATCAACATGCCGAACTTCAATATATTCACTTATCCGACGTTACAAACATCTGTAATCGGACTTCATTTTACAAGGAGGAATCTGTTGCTTGCTGTAGGAGCGTACAACGCTTGAAAATCTAGGAGTACTCCAAAAGCGGAATCGTGTACTGACAAATGCGGGTAGTGTGTGGCCTTTTTCTATAAGGTAGCGTTTTGGTGTAATAATTCATCTCAATCGTGTTTCTGTTGAGCTATTTTGTTTAGTTTTTGTTGTTTTCTTTGTTGTCTTTGTATAGAATATCCGTGAATACATATTCGATCTGATTCTATAAAAATTTCTCATGCAGTTAAAGCGCTAAACTACTTCTGAATACTGATATGTGCTTACCTTCCCGGTATCTTCTAGATGAGAATGGCTTTTCCTGAAGGACTCACAAGTCCAGAAATGGAGATAGCTGAAGGCGGGGTAATTTTGGACAACAGGACGTGAGTTTCATCGAAAGTTTATGTAATACCCTAATTTCGCGCATACCAGGCGCGCCTTTTTCGATTTTTTCAAGCGAGCCGCTCAGCCGCTTCACTGTGTTTCGGAAAGCGATTATTATGGCACGATTCTTTCAAGCAATTTACAGCAGTTCTTTCGGTTGCAAGTCCCATTGGCGTGTTGCTGGTCGATTTTGGAATAAAAACACCCCCGCGCCTTGTACGCGTGAAAATAGGGTAATTTTTTGCCAAATCTGGAGATCCCAGTTGCTTTTGGTAGTGTGAGGTCATCATGGCAGTAACATATTTTAGGCGGTTTGCTGACCTCAAGACCATGTTAGACAGCAGTAAGGATAATCTTAAGGTGGATGCTATGAAGCGGATAATCAACGTAGGTTCTTCCTCTTTGTGAGTCTCACGTAGGTATTCAAATGAACTTAGTTCAGCTGATTGCGAAAGGAAAGGATGTGAGCGAATTGTTTCCTGCAGTAGTGAAGAATGTTGCTGCAAAGAATGTGGAGGTATGCAGTGGCTGAGCTTTAGAATGTTGTTGGTTTCCTAGTCCTATTCATTTTTCAGCTCAAAAAATTGGTATACGTCTACTTAGTGCGATATGCTGAGGAACAACAGGATCTTGCGTTACTGTCAATAAGTACGTTTCAAAGGGCACTAAAGGTAAAGATTTTTACGGCACTGCTATCAAATTTATAATTCATACGTTGCTTACATATCCTTGCAGGATCCGAATCAGTTGATAAGGGCTAGTGCTTTGCGAGTCCTGTCCTCGATCCGAGTTGGAATGATTGCTCCCATAATGCTTCTGGCTATAAAGGATTCGGTTAGAGACATGAGCCCTTATGTCAGAAAGGTGTTGCGTACTTTTATATTGATTTCTAAAATTAACTTCCCCTATTCCTTAGGTGGCTGCGCATGCCATTCCCAAACTTTACTCATTAGAACCGGATCTTGAAGCAGAATTAGTGGACTGTATAGATTTTTTGCTCGCCGATCGACGTAGTCTGGTCCTTGGTAGCGCTGTATATGCTTTTCAAGAGGTGCATACAAATAATTTACAGCAGTCTATGCGCGAAAAAACCTTGCATTGTAGATCTGTCCGAACCGCCTCGATCTACTTCATAAACATTTTCGAGCCTTGTGTCGCGCTTTGGCTGATGTTGACGAGTGGGGCCAGGTAAATAAATAACGGTCATTTGTGAGTGAAGTTCAGTAATATTCCAGGTGGTAATGATAAATTTGTTGACGCGTTATGCTCGCTCGGAACTCGCAGATCCTGAGCTTCTTCCTCAGCCGGATGTCGATCTTACCCTCTTACTCAATTCGGCTCGACCCCTTCTCCAGGTTCGCACTCTTTTGTCTTTCGAAATTGTGGTAGTAGTTAATTTTTAGTTTTAATGCATCAATTTTTCTTCTTAACATCACAAATCTCGTAGCTTTTGTTTTGTTAACGATGTGCTAAATCACCTCTTAGTTCACTATATTAGTTCACTATATAGGAATTATCAAACATAAAATTGGTTTTCTTAACACGAAATTTTAGTCTCGGAACTGCAGTGTGGTGATGGCTGTCACGCAATTGTTCTACTATATTGCCCCTAAAGCGCAACTTTCGCAGGTAGAATTGCTTTATTACCTGCACTCTTGCCATATAATGCATACTGTTCAGGTCGCCCGTGCTCTAGTCCGACTTCTTCGAGGACCGCGGGAGGTGCAGTATATTGTGCTTCTGAACATCGCCACGATTTGTGAACGCAATCCGGTACTTCCTGGAACATATGCAATATCAAAAGTAGGCATGAATGCGGGCGTATCGTCGTGGATGTGCACCGTATACACGCTCAGATTCAAAAAACGAATCGGGCCTTTTTTGTTGTTATTGTCAAAAGGTGTAGTTGTCGTGTGGATTTACAGAGCACAATTTTTTTGCAAAGCATTCTGACATATCCCCTTTTGATATCCAACGCGCAAGTATACACCTGCACGTTCTGTGCTTGTTATCCTGTTGTGCAAAATGTTGTGAACAAAAAGAGCTTCATTAGTTTGCACTTCCGCATTCAAATCGTTTAGAATATGTTTGACCCGTTCTTGAAGTCATTCTTCGTGCGATCATCCGATCCGTCCTTCGTCAAGGAGCTGAAGCTACACATACTGACCAGTTTGGTATCTGAGGCAAATGTGCACATCATTCTTAGAGAACTACAAGTAAGTTTGTATTAGTATCTATTTTGTCGAACGCGTGGGTAATCGCTGGGAACTCTACTGATTTTCTGAATTGCATTAAGACTGCATATTGGTGATTGTGCGTGCATAAAAACCTTCATCCAGTCATTGAAGACAGCGTCCGGGCAGATTCTCGACGTCCATTTTTCAACTTATCCAGGACTTTTCGAGGCGCTGATTCCAAATATGGCACTTGAAAAATGTGGTCCCTCGTAAAAATTTTTTGAGGCTATGTTGTGAAAGCCCTAAATCGTCGATGTTGGTCCTCTTCAATCGGAAACTGTTCAGATTCTCTCAATTTTAAAAGGATCGTTTCCTTCCATGCAGTTCGCTAGTTTTTTCGCAATCCGTAGATAAAGCCAACAAAAATTCAAGTTGATGTTTTGTCACAATGTTAGTAATTGTTGGAAATGTTACCTGAAAATTTTTCGCTCACTCTACAAGAAAAGAAACTTCTCTGAGCTGAGCATCACGCGAACTACTGGGCGCATTCTTGACCAACTTCATAGAAGAGAAAACTGTTTATAAAGTTGGTTACATCACACACGCTTATCACGACACGATCCAGACATACGTTGGCACAAGTGACCTGGCTGGAGCAGCCATCGAAGCAATCGGACGATGTGCGGTTCGAGTCAAAGCTGTGAGTGAACAATGCTTAGCCGGACTTGTTCAGCTTATCACTTCGCCAAATGAAAATGTGGTTTGTTCGGCCGTTGTGGTCCTGAAGAGGTTAGTCGGAAAGATTTAAGCTTGGTGACCACTGTCTGACTGCTAACTTCTTAGACTTCTCCACGCCGAGGCTACTACTCCGTTACTCTCACGACTGGCGCGACTGATTCGCTCAATTCAGGCACCCGCAGCAAGAGCTTGCATAGTTTGGCTTATAGCTACCCATGTAGAGAAGGTTGGTTCCTAACATCTTATATTGTTTGGCTTTTTCTGGAATTACTATTTAGGTTCCGAATATTGCACCTGACCTACTGCGAATTCTAGCCAAAAATTTTGTAAATGAAGATGAAATCGTTAAGGTAGTCGCCTTTTTTCTTTTGAGGAAGCAGAGGATATGCTAGCAATTTTCAGGTAGAAACTCTGAAATTAGCCGTAAAATTATGGATGATTCGCCGTGAAGAGAGCGAGAAACTTGTTCATTACGTGTTTCAATTAGCTAGATTCGATCTGAGCTATGATGTCAGAGATAGGTACGAACTTTTTTCTTTTTTTTAAACTATGGATATCTTGACAGCTCCTAATCTTCAGGTGTCGATTCTTGAGAAACCTCTTGTTCAACACTACAGTATTATCCAAACATGCGGAACAGATTTTTATGGCGAAAAAACCAGCACCCGCTCTTCAAAGTAGCTTCAAAGGTTATTTTATACTTCGCTGCATTGTATAAGATCCTTACCTTGACCAGAGAATTTGCAGAAAGGGAACAGTTTCAACTTGGAACACTTTCGCATGTGTTGAATCAACGTTGTGCACGTTACTGTGATCTACCTTCATTCCCACAGGTGCATAGCTAGTTACATTCCGTTTGTCATAGGATTACCAATCACCTTGTCATCGTACATACAGGTCTCTTCTGACCCTGCATTACGTCGAGAAGCAAATTCTCCGGAGGAATATAAGTACGAAGATGACGAAGAGGTAGAAGAAGAAGACGAAGAGTATGACGAAGATGAAGAAGATGAGGAAGGTGAGGAAGAAGAAGAAGATGAAGAGGAAGAAGAAGGGAATGCCGTTGCTGAGGATGAAGGAACTGCTGAGGATGAAAGCTCAGAAGAAGACGAGAGTGATGAGGTAGAGTGTTTTGTAGAAGCTTTGATATACGTACAATTTAACATTTAGGAGGAGAGCGAGGAAGAGTCTGATGAAGCTAGCACACACAATAAACATACTGTACCCAAAAATTCTGCCAAAGGTGGAAGGACATCTGTATGATTTATCTTAGAAGGATTAAGAAATATGCATTTATAGGATCAGCAACTACAAATGGTCACACTACCCAACAGCAGAAGAAGCCTGAAACGAAGACTGAGAAAAAGGCCGAACACGCCATAGATCTGTTACTAGATCTGGACTTCTCTGCTGCTGGATGCCGTCAAATCGTAGATGCAGAGTACTGTTCGGTGAGACTTCCCATTCAAAATATATGACTTAGCATATTGATCTTTTGTAGAACAATCCGCGACCTATTCTAAATCGAATTGAAGGGGATGGTATTGAATTGTCGATCTTGTTCCCTCGCACTAATGATCTTCAGTACACACCTATTCGTTTTACGTTGCTGAACACAACAGAAGATGTTATCGAGGGGGTCAAAATTAGCCCACCAGAAGATTCGGATGCCAAGGGAGCTATGGAGGTTAGCAGTGCCTCTGTTTTTTTCTATTTTAGAGTCCCAAATTCACTACTTTTCCAGATCTCTTCACTCAGAGCTGGTGAATCAACATCGGTAGTCATCAGCATAGATCTGAATGATAGGTTGCGACAGGTTGAATGGAGGCTTTCCAGCACCTTGAACGATTCCGGAAGATCGATGCCCATTGAGGTGAGCTCACCGCTTCTCAAGATAGCATAAACAACATTAGCCATAGGTTCCTGTGGGTGAGCAAGTGCAGCCAATAAGGTTAGCAGACGAGGAAGTTGAGAAAGAACGGCGTCGCATGGGTGGTCTAAATAGACATACAGTTCCTCTCGCTGGAAAGGTTGATAGTGAAGCTGTCTTAGCTATGATTAACGCACATGAAATGCCGAATGGGGTGAGCTTTTTACTGAACTCGATATCCATTCTTTTTTGAGAGTAACGCTTTCAGTACTTCACTTGTCAGACTAGATCAAGAAAGGATCTTGTGATTATTCGTACCACTGATAAGGAGGTGGAAGTCAGCAGCGACAATGCTGTTTTCGGCAAAATGCTAGCAACAGCCGTGCAGAGTGTTTCATCATCAAAGTAATTACTGACTTCATTGTCATTGTAAGTGGTCATAATGTTCTAAAAATGTCAATATTTTTGTAGTGATCCTATTACTTTTGTTAGTCTTCCAACGCATGTGATAATGGTGGTGATGTGAATGGTGGTGCATTTCATAATAATTTATTGCTATGTGTCCAGTACTTCTTATGAACAGTTATTATTCAATGCAATTGATTTAAATCGGTAGATAGGCAGACATGCGCTTTTCTGAATTTTAGCTGACATTTTTGTCTCATTCTTGCCATGTTCATTTCCAGACATTCCTTATCGAAAGCATACCGTCGATAGTCTAGAGGCAGAGGCTCAACGTGGAGACTGTTTGTATGCCTGCCCTCTATGAAAAGTGAAAGTTTTATAGAGGAGTAGAGGAGAAAGAGAAGTCTAAGTAGAAAAAGCATAAGGTACTTGGGAGAAGCGGTAAATGGCTGTGTCAAGTTCTGCAATCTTCCCCGTAGTCGGGGGAACGAACTCCGCCAGTCTGAGTCGACCACATGCAACAACGTTGCAAAAGCACAGTTGCCAGTGAAGACGGCTCAAACTGGCGGATTCGTCTCTCTTTTCCATCAAAAGGAGTTTGACGGACGAAATATTCTTTCGAGATGCTGTGCGGGATCAGGCCAACGGAGATCCGTTAAGTCAAGGAAACACCGTCACACGACGGATAAAAACGTGAGACAGACGGGCTATGCCGCCGAGAGCGGTTGGTCGCACGCGGCATCTGCGACAAAGCACGCAGCTACATAAATTACATACATAAAGTATCTGTACCAGCTGTTCGCGCGGAGTGAAGCCCATCGGCGAAATATCCGTCCGACTTTTGGCGAGATACTGTGGTCGGCAACAAGACGAAGAATTTGCTTTCGGCTTCCAATCGCGGAGTTTATAATAGCTTAGACTTGTCTAGCATCTCCACGATTGTTCACGATAGTTCTCAAATGAGGCAACCAAGTGTGATCTATGTTTTTATATAAAAGCGTTAAAGGCAACGTACAGGCAGAATCTCGACTTCTATTTCTTTGCCTTATTCAGGCCTCTTCATGGCGCGGATTCCAAATGTGGCACTCAAAAGCGTGAATTCTCCAAAAACTCCATTTTGGAGACAATTTTGAGAGAAGCTTGGATGAGTGCTCTTAATTCTATCCTTGTCGAAAGCAAGCATTAACAGGTAGGCATCATGTGTTCCATTGTGTTTATCACGTAAAACACGTCAAGGGCTGAGAAGAGTTCGTTCAAGGGGGTGGGCCGTGCGAGGAAGTGGGCGTGGTCCTCAAGGCTCGGCGTTTTCTGCGCCAATTCTCTCCTTTTACAGGGGGTGTTCAAAAGTCGGATGCGCTATATTTCCAGATCGGGGACCTAGTACACGAATACGATAGTGTCTGAAAATGTCGAAATCTGCTTTAAAAAATCGGCGCTGCCTTTAAGGATTGTTTCGTACCGCAATCCGTGCGATAGAAATCGATTGGTTGACTGCCGTGCTGCAGCGATTGTAGTATAGCCCGTTCGCGCTGCGCACGGAGAGCAACGCTGTTGCACCCTTGAAGGCAGTTCATGACAGGAAGAAGCGCAGAGAAAACAGCGGGCGAGAGGGAGAAAGAGGAGTGACGCGCAATACACACCCTGCGCACTCTCCGCGCCCTGCGCGGACGGCCTATATGCAACAACTTTGAAAAAGCCGAGAGCAAGGAGTACGCGTGTCTTATCGGAGAGGCTCTACAGCTTATAATCAGAAAATACTTCCTGACGGAACCATAACTGCTTCCTAAGGCAATGCAGAAGGTTATGTACGTTTTTGAATCGCATCTACTGCGTCGTTCACCTCCTTCCAAGTTGGCGCTGGGAAGACGATTATGTTGCATCGTCTTGCTTTCGTGATTTGTCATGTTACTACGTCGACGAGAAATCGTACATTGCCAGGCCCCGACCCGACAACATCAAATTAAAACATCTAGGAATCCTTCGCCGGTCCTCATCAAATTCTCTTCACGTAGATGAGGAGAGCATTCCAAGTAGATGAAGTAGATCCAGCAGTACTCCGTTGGTGGGGAAAAGGGAGACCCCTGCGAGACTGGCCCTACCTGCCAGCTGATCGTTATCTGAAGATTTTCCACGCGAGTCATTTCAGCAGGATCGGGGAAGAGTTAGAGAAGGACAACCATGCGGGTAAGCTGGGTTTTACAGAAGACTCATGGCTGAGCACATACACACGGCGTCAAAGTTCATCAGAGCAACAGGAAAATGCGCTCTTTCTTACTTTCAAGGATTTCAAGAACTTGAAGGAGGCTTTGGACATCTTTATCTCGGCGGAAAGTACCTAAAGTCGAGTAGATTTTCCGCTTAATATACTGTGCTTGCACTGAAGGTGAGATGCGGTAGAATTTGCGCGTACACGTAGCTAGATACGCCTGTGACGTCGGCCGATCGCGCGCGCAAAATACTAGCATTATGGCGTGGCTACTTATTTACGCGCAAATTTTATCGCATTTCACCTTCAGTGCAAGCACACTATATTGAGCGGAAAATCTACTCGACTGTACGGGCTGTCCGGTCCTTTACAAAGAACCGTGAGACCCCCAACAGTCTTGCAGTGGAAAGTCCGCGAGATTGCGGCCACTGCGCCGCAATAATCTATAAAGGAGCCGCAGTTGTTCTTTCAAAAACTCGGCAACATTCTTCCAAATATCGGCACGGACCGCAAGAAATCAGGAACTACTTTTCCGAATCCAACTGTTCAACGGCGCTGCGAATGTAAAATGGTATCGCAAAGAGAGTTTCAAGAACATCTTGGTTAATGCTCGCTCCGCACATCCGATCACTGTCAGAAGAGCTGTTATTCGTAACATGCTCAAAACAGCAATGAACGTATGCACAGGAGAAGAAGAATGGAAGGAGTCGCAGAGATGGACGCTGGGTATTGCTCGAATGAATGGCTACATGTTCCAAAAAGGATGTGGTGGACCATCTAATCCGTCAACAGCAACCAGCACCGACAGAAAATACCTCTCTGCCTTTTCGTCTCTGAAGCGACTAATGCTACACTGCGACGATGCATTAAACACGCGAACCTCGAAACGATGTCAGTGGCAACAAGTGGCAACATCAGGAAGCGGTTAGTACGCAGTGAACTGTGGGACAACTGCTGCAGAATCCAAGACCGCGTGGTTTGTCCATCCGTTCAAGTTGGTGACTGCAGTAAGGCAGGTGTAATCTATCAGATCGAATGTATCGAGTGCAGCGCCACTTATATCGTAGAGATTGGGAGACCGTTAAGAGTAAGGATAAAAGAACATCTTGCCAGCAAAAAGCGAGGAAGCCTTACCACTCTTCTCGGTAAACATAAAGTTGAAGTTCACGGTGGTAAGGACTTCGAAATCAGATTGTAATACTGGCATACGAATACGATACTTCCATTAGAAAGGCTCTCGAGGCGTTCTGGATTTTTGCAAGAAAATCCTAACATGAACAGCCGAAATGAGTGTATGTCAAACACAAATGACATTATGCCATTCGTGAAGTTATGTGAGTTGAAGAAGGCCACTGTTAGTTCGAATATGGTATACAGTGTGTTTCATTATTGGTATCAGTGGCACTGAAAGACGGCCGCTTTCAAAATCTGCGCGCCGGCGGTGGAAGAGGTTAGGTTAGTTCGTCTTTCACGTTATGGAATTTTTGTTTGTAGCATTCTGGGGCAACGTCAAGGCTAGCCGGGGATGGAGGAAGCTTTTGGGTGGGGTAGACATAAGTCATAAACCTCTTATTACTTCAGGCCTCTGAAGAAGACGATTAGCTCGAAACGTTAGGCCGCCACTTACTAATAAATACTAACCTCGATTGGCTTACTAATCTACTTACTACATACTAACAATGTCGAGGTTAAGAAGGGCGGAATTTTGGAAACTATTATATAAAAATATTTGAAAACTTATATAAAGTATTACCTTTCCCAAAAAGCCCGTGTCCACACGGCCACCATACGATCTGAGATCGTATGGAGCCTATATTTCCGTCACTTCACGTTTTGGATTTCTTTGGCATGGACGGATACCCCGGCCAAGAATTTAACCCTGCCGCTCATAATTCGTCAAAAAAGTCACCGCACCCCTAGCGGAGTGTGCCACAGTGCACTGCAGTGCGCCGAAGTGCGAGGAGTGCGTCAGAATGCGGCGGAGTGCATTAGAATGCGGCGGAGTGCGCGAAGTGCGGCGGAGTGCGCCAGAGTGCGGCGGAGTGCGCCGAAATCTGCGTCGCAACGCCATATCTCGCTTCAGAGTAGACGTTCTGATTCCAAGGACTCAGCTTGGCGAGACGCATCTTTTGGTATATGAGTGTGCCACAATCTGTCGGGGACAGTGCCAAACCCGACAGCGCCGGTCTTCTGAAGACGTTTACACTTTGGTCTTACCTACAATAGTTTTGCTTATAGTTTTCCGTGTTTGTAAAATTTTCTTTCTTACTTGGTGTTAATGAAGTATTTGATTCTCAGCTTGTCTGCTTTTCGCAGACATCTCTTATACTTCACTACTTTTTCAGCTGAAATACCACTCAAGGTTTTTAAAGCTTGGTGATCCTTTTGCCTTGAGGTCGCTTGTTCGCCGTCCAGCGTCCCTGGCCAATTCGTTCGTCTTGGATTAAGGTGGTCATCCAAGCCCTGATTTCTTGACACTAAAGCTGCGTCCGGATTGGGATTGAGATCTCGGTGGAGGGCTTTCGTCTGCTGAAGAAGAGAATGATCTGACGACCACAGCAAAAATCAATTTTTTGCTCCTCTAGAAGGAGATCACGTATATTCCCTCAACATTCTACAGTGCTGGCCATTATTATTATAAAGACACTCTAGAAATCGTCGTAATTTGCGTTTCTGTTGATGAATCTGTCTGAAACTTTGCTGTTTGTTGCACTTGCTGACCTACCATAAGACCTCAAAACGGCTTCCAATTTTGTTGAGTTCGAACGAAAAAAAAAAGAAAAATTCAAAAAACCCCCTACCGAAAGCT